ACCTACATCCTGTTTTTGACCTGTGTTACAGATATTTAAGATTCTCTCTCAATAATAAAACCAAAAAGATGTTTCATTGCTTTCCTGACTAGTTTTATGTCAACTTGACACAAGCTAGAGTTATCTGTAAGGAGGGAACCTCCAGTGAGAAAATCCAGTTGTGGGACATTTTCTTAATTAGTGAGTGATGTGGAAGGACCCAGCCAGTTTTGGATGGTGCCATCCATGGATTGGTGGTCCTAGGTTCTATTAGCAAACAGGCTGAACAAGTCATGATGAGCAAGCCAGTAAGCAACACCCCTCCATGGCCTCTGCATCAGTTCTTACGTCAGGTTCCTGCCCTGTTTGAGTTCCTGCCCTCACTGCTTTTGGTGACGAACAGTTATGGAACTGTGAGTGAAATATAAACCGTTTCCTCCCCAAGTTGCGTTTGGTCATGGTACCTCATGACAGCAATATTAACCCTAACTAAGACAATTGGAGAAAGCTAAATGATATTCTCTGTACATTTTTACAACTTTTTAATAACCTATAATGATATTAAAATTAAAATTTTATAAGTCAGGTGTGTTGGTGCATCACTATAATCCCAGTGCTTCGGAAACTGAGGTAAGAGGATCTGAAGTTGGAGGCCATTTTGGAATACATAGTGAGTCGTTAAAAAAATGTAAATAAGATGATGTGGGTGTAGCTAGGGGGTAGCACTACTCCAGTCTAGCACTAGGGAGACCCTGGATCCATCAGCACCACAAAAGAAAAGGAAAACTATTTTAAGCCAGGCACAGTGATGTGCTCCTGCAGTTCCAGCTACTTGAGAGGCTGAAGCAGGAAGATCATTTGAGCCTGGAGTTCAAGACCAGCCAGGATGACACAACTCTGTCTCAATCAATCCTCAATTAGTTTCTGAGATTTGGGCTCTTGTGTTCACTGAGAAGTCTGGCTGCTTTAAAGACAACTGTGATTGTTGCCTCCATTCCCCTCTTTCTGATGACGTTGGACTTAGAAAGTGTCATAGGAGAAAACAAATTCCCTTTCCAATGATCATTCTACTATACATTTCCACTTCTTACTATAAAATAATTCAAAAGGGGGTGGAAATAGGTGTTTTCAAATCAGTCTCTTCCACATGTTTATCATCAACATCCTAAATGTTACTAGGTGTGGATTGAATGTCGTTCACTGTTGAGGACTTTAGATCTCAAAAGAAAAAAATTGGTAGGTTTTTGTTGTTTGAGACAGGGTCTTAGGTAGCCCAAACTGGCCTAGAACTTGTTATACAGCCAAGGATGACCTTATATAACTAAGGATGAGCTTGAACTTCTGTGTCTCCTGGCTTCACCTCTGAGAGCTCAGATTACAGGTTTGCCACAACCCTGTCTGGTTTCTGTGGTGCTAGGGATCAAACCCTGGGCTTTGTGCGGGACAGGTAAGCACTCTGTCAACCATACTACATCCTCAGTCCAAATCGCAGTTTTTATTTGTCCAAAGCCGGAAGATGGAATTAGTTTCAGGGATAGCTGGAGCATCCTTCTTCTCTCTCCCTCCCTCCCTTCCTCTATCCCCTCTGCCTCTTGCTCTCCCCTTCTCTCCCCTCCCCTCCCTTCCCCTCTCTTTCCCTCTCCCCCACCTCTGTCTCTCATTGCTACTTGATGTCATGCCAAGAAGGCTTCCTCCCATGTAACCAGCGCTGTCCTTGCTTGTGATGTACACAGGGAAGCGCCAGCATTACCACAGTCCCTCAAGAGTGTAGTGGCTGCCTCTAATAATCCCTGCTCTCCTGGTTAAATGCCCCAGTTCCTAACGAGGCTTCTATGCTTGTTTTTACTTTCTATAATATGATTAGTAACACTATTTATCAATCCCAAGTCTCCCAGGTGGACGAGAACACATTAGAATGTAGAACCTAGGAAGATGCTGAGCAAAGGCTTGCTTCTCATTCCCACACAGTGTAGGGAAATATTGCCATTTATATGGTGGTGGTGGTGGTGGTGGTGGTGGTGGTGTGTGTGTGTGTGCTTAAAGGCTGCATAAAATGTAATTGAAAATGTCACAAATCCTGTAATTTCCCTTGTTAACTTTCATAACATGCAGTGTCCACCGTGAGTCAAGCTCTAACAGTACCAAAAACTTGAGATATTGAAACACTAGGAAAGCAAATATGGAACAAATGTTGTTTTCAAATGCTAAAAAAGATTTAAATCCCAGAATTGGAATTTTCATTCTTCTAGAAGGAGACAGCTAAACACACATTACATATATGCATTTGCATACACACACACACACACACACACACACACACACACACACACACACACACTATAGCCTACAGCATCCACGTCTCTATAGGGTACTTAAAAACCAGGGCTAAAATGGAAATGGGTTAAGTGAGTAGTGACCCCCTTTTATGACACCCACTAATATGTCATTTGTTTCTATATTTAGAAATTCATTCTAGATCTCTTAATTATTTTAACTTTTTTAAAATGTCGAATTATACCCATTTTTCCTCTTTTCAATTGCTTTTGTCTAAAACACAAAAAAATGTTGATCTGAACATGTCTATATAAGAAATTCATGTGCTTTCATAAATAACACATTTTTAGGAAATACAGAAATATTTTCATTTATTTTAGGTGGATTAAAAATCAATCTAGCCATTTAAAATGGTTGTACAATGTACTGTGTAGATGTAACAAAGATTACTCTATCTTTGTATTTTCATAGTTATCATTTAATTTTAGGTGCCATTTTTATAAAACCTCATAAAACCTATGAGTATGTGTTTATCTGCCAGCTTTGTCCGGATGTGATTCACAAATGTGTCAAGGAAATCTAATAAATCTTTTATTGGTGTGTATTAATATTCTAATTGCAATGTAAGGAACAAAGAAAAGATGCTGCTTTCAACGGATTGGAATGTTTTAATGTGGCATCTCAAATTAGCAATAGACTGATGCTTCTTATAATGGCTTCACCCTCAGAACATCTATGATGTGAAAACCTAGCCTCCTAGGCATCAGTCAACCAGCACCAGCTACTGCCTTTGCTCTACTAAAAATCTTTATTGCCTGCCTTCCTTCCTTCCTTCCTTCCTTCCTTCCTTCCTTCCTTCCTTCCTTCCTTCCTTCCTCCCTCCCTTCCTTTCTTCCTTTCTTTCCTCCCTCAATCCCTTCCTTCTTTCCCTCCCTCCCTCCCTCCCTCCTTCCCTCCCTCCCTCCCTCCCTCCCTCCCTTCCTTCTCCCAGGCTGGTCTCAAGTATGCTGTTTAGCCCAAGCTGGCTTTGAACTCCGGATGCCTTGGTCTTCCAACAGCTAAGATTACAGGAGCCATCACGCCTTTTATTACATCTTTTGAGAGGGATTTTATGCCTCTGGGCTGTCTCTGAGATAACCTTGAGCTGCTGCTTCTCAGCCTGCTCTGACCTCCATGTAGGAAGTCAGTAACTAGACCCCTGCCTACAAATGACAGCCGACTTCAAGAGTCCCCAGAGCAGTCCATTCTGCAGAACAGTAGCCAAGGTGGCTTTGGACTGTCACATGGGCCTTTCACCTACCATCACTTTGCCTCACAGTGACTGCACGCATTGGATGAAACTGAAAATCACTCCATGGGGGAAGGCCCTTGAATAGCACGGGTTATTATTTCTGGAAAATGCTTGAAGTGACTAGTAACAGTCGTTACAGAAAGCAAGCAAAGCTTCCCTCTTGCAAAAGATGTGGTGTTTCTCACAGTTCTGTGCCCCGCTGTCTCACCAACGTTAATTACCCTAAGGTGGAAACTCTTAAACGGCAATGACCTACTTGGCTTGCATCCCTCCTTTTCTTGAATTTATTGTACTTTTGCTGCTTTGTTTGGCTTTGGTTTACTGATTCCTGAGACAGGGTCTGGCTACACAGTCTAGGCTCACACTGGAACTCTTATGCCTTAGCCTCCTAAGGGTTGGATTGACAGGTGTTTAGCACCGCCCCCTGCTCTTTTGCTCCTCCTCTTTTTTCTTCCTCTTTTTATACATTGGGCTGTCCTGTTCACTCATTCTCTAGCTGATCATTAGTCCCATGAGACGGTCTTGTTTGAAGTGGTCTTTTCATTGTATAAAATAATGGCTTTGGTTGTCTCCTAAAAAGTCTTTCTCTGGGAGTGATTTCCAGTAAGAATAGTCTGTCCAAACATCCTTCCAATCAAAAGACTTGACTTTGCAAAGAGAGAGGTCGATACCTACAGCATCAGAAGAGCTAGATAAAGACAGAAATACAATATACAGCAGAATTTGGGTTTTCTATCAACAATAGACACATTCAGTCGTCACTAAATTGCAAAGACTAACAGTATCCAACCCAACCTGTCATCATATTTAATCCTGACCTCTTTCTTTTCTACTAGATATAATCCAGATCTAGAGTTTAGCTTTTTAAAAATATTGGGACAAAGAGGGATACACACAGTCATCTTCCATTTAATTATTCTCAGTCTTTGCTTCTAGGGAAACAAATCTGCCCCTCTTCACCCATCTACCTTGTTTTGATATCCATGTCTCAGAATGATGTGACCTCTGAGTCCATGTTTCCTTAAATACATCTTCAAAACTGTAAACTCATATGAGACAGTAAAGAAGCCACAAGTAGGGAGGTGTCCGTTGCATTTTAACCAATAAAGGTTCTGCAATACTTAGAGCCTCCGGATAGATCAGTGAGAACACCAACTAACTAACCAAGTGAAGGGTGGGCAAAAGAGATCAATGGGTGTTCACTGAAGAAGAAACAGCAATGGCCAATATACTTACAAAAAGGCAGCCAGTCTCGTTGATAAACTAGAAGCTTCAAAGTACATCCACAGTGAAATGCCACATTCACCAGGCTGGCAAAGATTTTTTTTTTTTTTTTTTTTTTTTACATTTAACTTCATTCATTGTTGATGGGAGTGTAAGTCAGTACAACCATTTGAACAGTTATTTCCAATAGAGTTTAACCAGCTCATCCCCTTTGAACTAATAATTCCATCCCTAGGTATACACCTCCGGAAACTCTCACACATGGGCACCAGGGACACATTTAAGAATGCTCAGAGCAGCCCAGCTGAGGTAATGCGCGCATTTTCTTTTACATTCCAGGCACTGAGCGGGATGGTAAAGACAACACTGCGTGGCCATGGCTAACCCACACCACACTGGCTGCTGAGACCTGGAATCTTTCAGAGACCTCTGGGAGACATGAGGAAGAGAGAGGAAGACCAGAGCCACAACTACCCTGTCCCCCAGGCCCTGTCTTATTCTTAGGTCACTTAGCTCTATTGTACCACCTGCGTTAATCCATTTATTACTACTTTGGGATTATAGCAAAATGCAAGCAATCTTCAATCAAATATATTCTCATCCATCACCTCCTTATAATCTAGCCTTTCTCACGTGTTTCTTGTATATAATTAACTTTAAAGTAGTAGCCAGTATTATTTTTTAAATCTGATCGTCAGGGTTTCATCCCTACTTCTCTCTGTATTTTCAAAGACACAGCCTCATTCTAGCTCGAATTGCACAGCTATTGGGTATGAATTTGGAATGCTTTACCAAAGGTCAGTTACCTTTAGGGAATGGTCCTTCTACTAAATTGTGATTCCCTCAAAGGACTTGCCTTGCTTGTAGTGGGCTGCATATTCATGCCGGGTTCCAGGAGGCTCCTGGTTTAGGAAAACACCTATGGGCAGAGTAAAATGCTCTCTCCCATGCTAAGCTTGACTAGGTTTCTCACTCTCTCTAAATCAGAATTTTCTTACATACATCTTAACAGTGCATTTTACAATAGGTTTTTTTTTTTTTTTTTAGGATTTTTATACTCTAGATATGTCATGAATGTTAAATGCAATTGCCCAAGAAAGTCCATGGCTATATGACCCCAAAATGACCCTTTAAGAAACAGTAATGTGCTTCCTCCCTGCCCTTTCCTCGGAACTCCTCACCTTTCAAAAAGAGGTCAAATAAGATCAGTTGCCCTTTTTCTGCAGAAGGAAATTAGAATTATATTCTCGGTGTCCTGTTAGATGCTGGTTCCTGGAGTGTTGGGGATAGCGGAAGTGAGGTTCCACAGGAAATTAGAGAGAAGAGCATCCTCAGGGTAGAAAAGGCCACCTTAGCCTTGTGCCCCACAGACAATCGCACCTTCTCCACCCCTTCAAGGGCACCCAAGCCTGTCCTTTGCTCATCACCTTTTTAAACTGACAACTGCATCTCCGGGAATGGTTTTGGACTTTGCAGGCGTTTGGGGGTTTGGACAGTATCGTCCTCACTACAGTGTGGTGGAAGTAGCATCTGTCTGATGGCCCGGCACTATGCACCAAACTGGAGGTCAACTAGGGAAGGAGACGAAGGATAGCGAGAGGATTAGAAGTTCAAGTAGCTGCAGGCCGGGGGACCCACACAAACAGGCTAGGCATACTGTGGCATCCCAAGAGACATAGGGGACAGTGTTGCCACCTCCGCCAGCTTGACCACCCTGATTTCAGGTTCTTGAGGCTGACACCCCCTCCCCCCAAGTCCTGGCTCTCACCCAAGTCCTACCACAGGTGGGAGTGGACCACCATGGTTTAATTTCACTCTCCATCTCAGAGCCAACTGCGTGGTGCCCTGAGTCAGACACCCGGCCAGGGAGAGCATGTCCCGCGGGGGCGGCAGCAGGTCCGGGTGACGCCAGGGAGCCAGGGGCGGCGAGGTCACGCGCGGAGACCACACCGGCCCAGCCCACGTGTGCGCCAGATTTAAAAGTTGGTGGCGCGCGGTGATGGTCACTTCGGTGGCTGAGCTCAGCAAGAGACGCACAGGGGACCCGACGCTGAGGGGCAGCCAGAACACCCGCACAGCACAGGGTCCCTGGTGCCCCGTCCAGAGCTGCTTGGAAGTGAGGGCGATGTCGCGAGCAGCGGGTAGCCGCCGGAGGCTGTCTGGGGGACAAGTGGCCGGTGCATCCCCGCTGCTGCTGTCGCTGCTGCTGCTCCTCGCCTGCCTCCCGGACGCCTGCAGAGGTAAGATGCCACCCTCCGCCTTCTGCCTCCCTCGCCCCTCAGGTTCCTGCTACACCGGTTGCTCTCCGCTACCTCCCTTGCCTCTTCTCTGGGTTTCTGGAACCCACCTTCCACTGAAGCCATGGTCTAGCTCAGGACTACAGCCAGCTGGGGAAGCAGCAGAGACCGGCTGCAGACTCCGTAGTGGGAGTTAAAAGAAAATTAAAATACTTTCCCTTTCATCGCAGTTATTGGAGGGGGGGAAACGTCTGCTGCTCCCCTTGCCAAGGCGAGGTGAAGTTGGGGTGTGCTCGGCCTCCGTCCGGGTAAGCCGGCTGTTGAGTTAACACACGCGTGGAGGAGGGGCCGGAGGTTTAGAGGTTCTCAGAAGGATTAGAGAGTTCTGATCACAGAAAGTTGAAGCAAGCATGCAAGGCTTCCCAGGATTTCTAGCGATAGGCACCTAAGACTAGCAAAGCGGCTGGGATCTGATCACAAGAGGGACTTCCCCAGCTTGGCTCCCAGGAAACACAGGATCAGCAAGACCCGGGAGGAAGGTCTGAAGCTCCGAATGAGCGGCAAAGCAAAATGTGTCCCTTGTAAAGAAAGTTTAGTTACGAGGTAATCTGGGAGACTATCACTCATTCCTGCGTTATTCCAAACACTGCCTTGTTACAAACGTGAATTCTCCAGCTAGGCCCGGGTCAGCAGGTTGTTAATTTTTCAGAAATCCTGAGTGACTTCACATCACAGCCACGGAGCGCTTTCGGAGCTCATAGCCTAGCCCTCAATTAGAGATGGAAAGAGCCAAATATTTTTTTTCCTGACCTTTTTTATTGCCTTCATTTCATTATTTTGATCTTTGTTCCTGAGACATTGAGGAAGAACAGGCTTCCTCATTTGAAAAGCAAGGTAACAGGGAGAGTGCCATGGCTCATCTGGTAAAGGTGCCTGGTGCCAAGCACGAAGACGTGAGTTCAATCCCCAGCGCCCACAAGTTTGTCCTCTGAAAGAAAGGGCAGCCAGGTAGCAACTACATGGTAGCATATTAACCTTCTGCAGTACTAACTCACCATGACTTATGAAAGCTAAATTAGCCTTTTGTCTTTTAAATATTTTATTGGAAATATTAGAATGATAATTTCATTTTCCTTCTGAAGGAAGGAGATAATTAGTGGGGTTTTTTTTTTTTTGTTTTGTTTCGTTTTTTAAGAAAGAAAGCAGGTTTACTTAGTGCATTGCAAAGAGATTAGCAGCCTGGCAGTGGCAGAAAAACTGCCTGTAGCCAGGTGATCATAGCCTTCATTTGTATTTGTATTTATTTATTTATTTAACGTATGTGGGTGTTTTGTCTGCATGTCTGTCTGTGCCTCACGTGTGTGCCTGGTGTCCAGGGAGGCCAGAAGAGGGTGTGGCATCCCCTGGGACTAAGTTATAGAGATAGTTGTGAGCTACCATGATTGTTTTGGGAATTGAACCTAGGCTCTTGGAAGAACACACAGAGCTCTTAACCATGGAAGCAGCCCTGATAACTATAGTTTTAAAAAAATGTTCTGTTAGGGGGAAAAGCTATGCTTTCCATGAATGTTGCATGCAATGTGCTGTGGGAAATCAGTGTCTTGGAGAACTAGGTGGACAGCAGTTTCCTAAAAAATAGATGAGTCTTCACTTGCATTTCCAAAAGAGCAAATGTGCTGCCTGACCTATCATATCATAAATAGCCTTGATATTATTCAAGCAAAAGGCTTCCTCCACTGTCCGGGAAGGTCTCTGATTGCCTTTGTCTGCCTTCATTCCCTTTCAGACAGGAAAAAACAAATTTCATTTCTCTTAAAATGTAGTGGGATGGGGAGTGGGTGGGGTGAACAGCCAGTGTGATCTGCAATTAGTCCCAAGCTCCTAAACATGGGGGTAGGGACAGGCATAGCATACCTAAGCAAGAGTTGGAGGTAATCTAACAGGAGCAATCAGTACATAAATGTAATTAGATACTTCTTAAAAAAAAAAGAGACAAAACAAATGCCATAAAAGCAGAAGGAACTAAATGTCAATACATGTAGCATTCTTAGTGAAAGGGGAAAAGATAGAAGAGTCCACAAGGCATGAGCTAGTGAGACGATAAAGGCCAGCCAGACACGCTGGTGGAAACAGTTAACTCGGAGAACATGTTGGGAGAGGGAAATTTCTTATAAAGAGGAATATACTTTGGGTATCTGCCAGTCACTTGATTATGCCTGCAGCAATAAGAGATCAAATGACAAGACTAACAATGAATGTCTTTCCTACCCAGATCTCTCATTCATCGACCAATTCTTAATGTTCAGTTAATAGGAACTGCTTCTCACATGCTAACTGCAGGGAAGTGTTAGCAAGAACAACATGCGTGTCACCTTTAAAGTAATCGGGTCTGTTTTATTACCTAGTGCTTAAGTAGAAATACCTCAATGAAAATGAGCAAAAGCTGTCATTTTTATGACCTAGAAGAAAATAGCGGTGTTGTTTTGGAAAATGTGGAGGGTAGTGCAAGTACCAGCTCCTGCCAGTACTGTGCAAAGTCCACATCCCAGGAACATGGATTGAGCACACTCTCCAGAGTTTAAGTTTTGGAATCTTGGTTCTCAGTGTGGTAATGCTGAGAGATGATGAGCCTTTGAGAAGTGAGGTTAGTGGGACACTGGTAGGTAATCGGGTGTGTTGGTCTGATTAGTAGGTAATCGGGTGTGTTGGTCTGCCCTCAGAAGGGATTAAAGGAGTTCCCTTGGAGAGTGGGTTGTTATAAGACTGAGATTGGCTCCTCCCCGCCCTTGGCTCCTCCCCGCCCTCTGGCTTTCTCTCTCGTTACACAATCACTCCATCACAGAGGTTCTCAATCTTTGGGTCTCAACCCTTCTGACACAACTCTACCTCTCAAAATATTTACAGCTCATAACAGTAGCAAAATTAGTTATGAAGTATCAATGAAAATAATTTTATGGCTGGGGGTCACCACAACATGAGGAACTGATTTAAAAGGTTGCAGCATTAGGAAGGTTGAGAACCACTGGTCTAGCAGTTCCCTATCCATTCTGAGGCCCTCACTCAAGGTTAGAGCTTAGATTTAGTTTCCAAAACTTGAACTAAATAACCTCTTTTCTTTACCGTTTACCCAGCAGAAACCAGACTAACACCACAAAGGGCTTGAGGGGAACATTGTATCAACTCTAGAACAGCGGAGAGAAAAACAATGTCCAGTCAGATGGTACTAGTGGATTTCTATCAATTATAGAAAAACGTTTTATTTTAGGTTCTGCACCTGTCTTACCCTGAGACTGGACTTAATGTGTTTTGCAGAAGAGCTACAGAGCATTCCCTTTTTGATTTGGATACAAGTGGTTAAGCACAATGGCCATTCTAAGTGGTCCATGGGAGCTTGGGGTTTGGATGGAATCAGTCAAGCTCCCAATGGTCTTGGTAAGGAAGTCTAGCCTAATGCAGGTTAGCTGATTAGAAACTTCACTTTGTCCTGGGAGGATAAGGGCTGGGAATGGAAAACTGCATTCTTTAAGCTGGAATGCTGGAGTTGGAGAGATGGCTTGGTGGTTAAAAACATGAGCTGCTCATGCAGAGGACCTGGGTTCTGTTCCCAAGCACTCACTTGGGACCTTGCAACTGTCCATGGGATCTGATGCTCTCTTCTGGCCTTCTCAGGCACCAGACATGCATGGAGTGCACATATATATGTGCAGACAAATACTCAAACATATAAAATAAAGATTAATAAATCACAGAAATGCTTGTCAAACAGTCTCACTCAGGGAGATCTTCAGGTACTTTTATGAAGATTTGAAATCACAGATTAATCCTTTCCTGCAGGCAGAAAGAACTCAGAATGTAGCTCATCAGGGAAACTGTGCCTGACATGTATAGTTGTGGTATGGTGAGAAATGTATCACTGTGTGAAGGATTTTTCCATGAAAGGGAGTTCCACTGGTTCTCAATTTAATCAACTCTCTACATGATGCTTATAAAGTTATTTCTAAAACTCACCACCACAGAAAGGACTGAGCATTGCTTTTTCCCTTTTTTTATTATTAAAAAAATTTCTATTCACTTTACATACCAACCACAGATCCCCCCCCTCCTCCCTCTTTCCACCCCCCAGCTTTCCCCCCAATCCTCCCCCCATTCCCACCTCTTCCAAGTCAAGGTCTCCCATGGGGAGTCAGCAGAGCCTGGTACATTCAGTTGAGGCAGGTCCAAGGCCCTCCCCCCTGCACCAAGGCTGTGCAAGGTGTCACACCTTAGGCACTAGGCTCCAAAAAAGCCCACTCATGCACCAGGGATGGATCCCAATCCCCCCTGCCTGGTGGCCCCCCAAACAGTTCAAGCTAAACAACTGTCTCGCATATCCAGAGGGCCTAGTTCAGTCCTATGGGGGCTCCACAGCTGTTGGTCCACAGTTCATGGGTTTCCACTAGTTTGGCTGGCTGTCTCTGTATGTTTTCCCATAGTGATCTCAATGTTCCTTGCTCATAGAATCCCCCCTTTCTCTCTTATTGATTGGACTCCTGGAGCTCGGCCTGGCACCTGGCCATGGATCTCTGCATCTGCTTCCATCAGTAACTGAATGAAGGCTCTATGATGACAGTTAGGGTATTCACTAATCTGGTTACCAGAGTAGACCAGTTCAGGCACCCTCTCAACTATTGCTAGTAGTCCAAGGTAGGGTCATCCTTGTGGATTCCTGGGAACTTCCCTAGCACCCTGTTTCTCCCTATTCCCATGATGTCTTCATTTATCATGGTATCTTCTTTCCTTGCTCTTCCACTCTGTCCCTGTTCCAGCTCGAACTTCCCATTTTCTTATGTTCTCATCCCCCATTCCTTGCCCTCCATTACCCCCCCCACCCCCAGTTTGATCATGTAGATCTCATCTATTTATCCTTTGCTGGGTTATCCTATGTGTTCCTCTTAGGGTCCTCCTTGTTTCCTAGCTTCTCTGGAGCTTCGGGTTGTAGTCTGGTTATCCTTGCTTTACAACTAGTACCAACTTATGAGTTAGTACATAAGATGTTTGTCCTTCTGAGTCTGGGTTACACCACTCAGGATGATATTTTCTAGTTTCATCCATTTGCCTGCAAATTTCATGATGTCATTGTTTTTTACCACTGAGTAGTACTCCATTGTGTATATGTACCACATTTTATTTATCCATTCTTCGTTTGAGGGGCATCTAGGTTGTTTCCAGTTTCTGGAATGTTCCAGTATTATGAATAATGCTGCTATGAACATAGTTGAGCATAGGAATGACTGGGCAATGTTAGTGCAAGGCCTAGTATGTGCATGGCCTTTGGTTTGAGTCCTAGCACACACACACACACACACACACACACACACACACACACACACACACACCCCAAAATCAAATCAATAGCACAGAAACTGTAGCTAAATGTGACTATTATTATAACCTAAATAATAGTAAAAGCCCACTAAAAACTTGAGGCAATATTGAATACAAGCAGCAGATTTAGGGGAAATAGAACTTATCAGGATTTATGTCAGCCAGAGATGTTTAGCAATCTTCATTGAGGCCAAGTATAGAGGTGTGATCTGTGATTCTAGCACTTTTGTGGATAGCTTGGGAGACACAGTGACCCTGTCTCCAAAACAAAACAAAAGCAAACACATGACTCTTGTGTCTATTGACTTAGATAGCCTTAGGCAAACTCCCTTGCTTCTGCTTTCTTGTCATGAATTAGGAATAAAATAATAATAATAATAATAATAATAATAATAATAATAATAATGCCTCCCTAGAAGTTTGACATGAGGATTAAGGAATAATGTATTTGAAGTGCTTATCACAGTAACATTAATGTGTATTCAAAATTTTATCTTTAGGTGCTCCAATATCACCTCAAAGATTACAGCCAGAACAGGAACTACAATTGTGGAATAAGGTAAAAAATTATCCTTGCAAAAATGAGTGAAAACTTCACTCTTCTTTATAATTACTATGGTAAAGTGAAATAGTGAGATTGAACTTTGGGAACAACTGTGATTTTACCAACATTGTGACATCATAATAATTAAAAGTGTTTTATTAAAATAAAAGAGCCAGATATGGTGAAACACACCTATAATTCTAGCACGTGGGAGGGCTGAGGCAGGAGGATTCCTGTAGGTTTGAGACTAAACTGAGGTACCTAAGTTTAAGGCCAGCCTGATCTATAGATTCATACATATATGTAGATACATGAATCTCAAGATCCTATCTTAGGAAATGCTTAAAAAGAGGGAAGGAAAGATAAAAGGAAATAATACAGCAAATGGTAAAACTTAGAAGGCAGAAACAAGCTTTAAAAATAGAGTAGTTACAATAAATGTGAACATGCTAAAATATACTACTTATAGACATGAATTCTCAGATTGGATCTGTGTTCTATTTGTTAAAGATCTAGGAATGGTTATTTATTAAGAATCACACCTTGGGGGCTAGAGAGATGGCTCAGTGGCCAAGAGCACTGGCTACTCTTCCAGGGGTCCTGAGTTCAATTCCCAGCAACCACATAGTGGCTCACAACTATCTATAATAGGATCCGATGCCCTATTCTGTCATACAGGCACACATGCAAATAAGGTACTCATATACATAAGTAAATAAGTCTTAAAAAAAAAAGAAGAGAGAGTCACACAGAATGGCTGAAGATCCATCTCAGTGGTTGAATGCTTGCCTGGCAAGTGCAAAATCCTAGGGTGAATGACTAGTATATCCATTCCCTCACTCCCACACACAAGAGCCACACATAACATGGGGAGGAATTTAAGTATGGAAGGATGGGAATGATGTACAAAGCAAATATGAACTGAAAGAAAACTGAGTTAGTAGTCTTAATAGCTGATTAAATAAAATCAAATAAACAAACTGTCAAAGTGGAGAGGCAGGCATTTATATGCTTACATAAGATGCACAAGAAGATGTGGCCATCATCATTAGCACATACCAACAATTCAGCCTCAGATTCCACCAGACTAACAACTGGTAGAAAATCATGGGGAAACCTGAGCACTAAAAAACCAGAATGAATTAGATTAGAAAGGAAGGTTCCATAAATTAGAAAGGATCTAGCCGATTTTTCCCCAAACATAATGCAATACAGTAAGAAAATAATAACAAATCCATGACTTAAACACCTCCAATAAGTAGCATTTTTGGTGAATGACTCTAGAACGAAAAGGAAACTAGAATTAGAATTGAACAACAAAAACACTACAAATCAAAAATTGCAAGCTATAGCTAAGACTTCAGAGAACATTTTGTTTCGTTATAATAAGCCCCAAAGTACAAGCTGCATGCCAGGCTACCTGTGCTCCAGAAGATGGTCCTATGCCCAAGCACATCCCTTCAGCACTGAGTGAAAGCAGAGCACGTGAAGCCAGGCATTCGGGAGGCAGAGGCAGGCAGATCTCTGTGAGTTTGAGGCCAGCCTGGTCTACAGAAGGAGTTCTAGGACAGTCAATGCTACCCAGAGAAACTCTGTCTCAAAAAAAAAAATAAAAACAAACAAACAAAGTACATGAGGTTGGGAGAGAAAAGTGGTGGGGCGGTGGGGGGAGGGGAGCGAATGCAGTGGCTTTGATCAGAACCACATTATACATGCAGGTATGAAATGATCAGTTTTGAAAATGCCCTGAACTAAGAACTCCTTTCTTGTGTCGTTGGCCGAAGCCCATGTTTTCTTACACAGTCAACGTTTCCCACGTTTCTTTATAAAAGAAAACCTTTCTCTATCATTCATAAGTCTGCTATTTACCTAGCTAAGGCACTTTTCTTTTTCTGTCTTGCTAAGAGATTTGTTAATCACTGAGATCTGGAGTTCACCAGTTAGGCTGGACTGGCTGATCAGTGAGTCCCATGGCACCTTCTGTCTCTGCTTCCCCAATTCTGATTTCAAGCATGGTGGCTTTTTATGTGAGTGTTGGGGATCCAGCTTAAACCCTCTGTGACAAGTGCTTTGGCCAGAGGACTCGGTAGAATTCATTCACTATGATAAAAAACACCCAAACTTCCTCAAATTAATAAAAGCAAATCCCATACTATCAGTGTGGTTTTATTTAGAATAATTCCACTCACTTTTTTAAAGGAACATCTAAATTTAACCTAACATTGACATGAGAAACTAAATGTCTACAAATCCTGAGGACATTTTAAACACAGGGAGCTTAAGGGCGAGAACTATCTGTTCCTGCTTACGAAGACTACTATAAAACTCCAGCTTGGAAAAGTCAGATAAGGACCCAAAAATAAAAGCATGAAGTAATGGAATAAAAGCTAGTGCTTGGAGACTCCAACCTTTTAACAGTTGCTGTCCCAGGTACGCCAGTTAACTTCTTACCGCAAGCCTCTGTGCCTCTGCTTGCTCTGCCTGCCCTGCAGGTGTTGGCAAAACCAGAGTCTCCTCCCACCACCACCATGGAGGGTAGCACTCAAATGGTGCAGGAAGGGAGGTGGTAGGAAATTACTTTTGCTCCCTTAACTCCCTCAGCATGGCTGATGGCAACCTATTCTACACTCTCTTCCAGACACCCCTAGACAGACAGAACCCCAGTCGGTCACGGTGACAATCCCTTAGTAAACTCCTTCTTATCCCACTTTCTCTTCTTCACTCTTTCACTGATCTTTCGTGGCTCACTCCTAAAAAGACACACCTGCATTATAGCCTCTTCTGTTTTCCTTTCTTCCATTGCTATTTGTTTATTTATTTATTGCAGTATTTGGGGATTCAATCCACAGAATTAGTCGCGTTAGACAAGTGCTCTCTCTACTCCTGAGTTATATCCCTAGCTACACCATTTTCTAAAGAGACTGTTTCTGGAATAAGTCAGACCAAAGGCAGAATGGACACACACATAAACAACACTGCAAATCCAAGAAAGAAAAGAACAGGTTGAAACTGACTCACTGTATTGAGGGACATAAAGCCAATACTCTGTACAAAGATGATATGAGAGGAATTAAAGAGCTAAACATAAAAGATAAATCATAGAGGAACAGGAGAGATGTACCTAGGTGAGTGAGGATCGGGGGGGGGGGGGGGGGGGGGGGGGGGAAACTTCTCTAACAGAATTTCAAATGCTCCAGCATTTCCTCCCCTGGGAAGAGAGTCCCCAGGAAGCCTTTCACAGGAAGAGAGCTAAACAACCTGGCTGCAGCTCTGTTTGTAGTGGAAAGAATTAAATGGAACCCAGCTGTCTGACCATCCCTGGGAAGTGGATAGGCAATATGCTGTCATGCACAGTCTAGAGGGCTATGCAACAGGTAGAAGCCACATATTAGATGCACACTTTGCATCATGGCTAGTTAAGTGGGAAATAAGTGAAAAATGTTAAGGAAGTACCATGTATGCAGACAAAACAGATTTTACAAGAATACATACAGAAGAAAGGTGCATATCAAATACATTGGAAGGGTTGTCTATGAGAGGATGGAGTGAGGATAAGAAACGGAGATATTACAAACAAGGCTAATGATTATGCTGTGCTTCAAGCTGAGAACTTTCTGTACACAGGCCAGGCCCCAACAACGTACGTCAGGGAAAAAAACCAAATGATAAGTATCAGGCACCGAACGTTCTTTAAAAAGTACAGATATTCATGGAGTCTATTAGAAGGGTCTCTACTTCACTAGATCACCAAAGAACATGGGAAAAACATAAAGCAAGGAAAATAATTGAAATAATTCACACCAATGTACAATATGTAAAATATATTTTAGCTTGCAATGATACCTTTCCTTGAATAGCTTTGGAAAACATTTTGGATCATAATACTAGGAAGAAGGGTTGCTATGAAAACATTGTCCTTCCTTTATAGGAAAAGATATTTAAGGAAATTAATATGCTAGCTAAGTGTGGTAGTATACAAGTGTAGTACCAGTATTCAGGAGGCGATTTCAAAGCCTTTCTGGGCTATACACTAAGACCCTGTATAGCTCCCCCCCAACAAAACAAAACCCCAACAACAGTGCACAGAAGGTGACCTGTTAGCAACACAAAAGGCAGTTTTTTTTCTGCTGGAAGCTTTTACATTTGAGTGGCCCAGACACTGGAAGCATGTGCTTTTCCAGCCATGTTCCGAGGTCTGCTCATTTCAAACAAATTCGCCAACGGACCATGCAGAGATCTCAAAAGCTGTTAGCCACGGAAAGCTGGCCAATGCTTACCCACATGGTGAGGGAGAGAATGGAGCCGCTGTCCCCTCTCCAGTGAATGAGAACAAAAACCAGAAGCGTTACAATGATCTCCTAATTGGGTTAATTCGGTTTGTGAAGTTTCTGATGTTTTTCTTTAAGCAGCTTGATGCACCGATCAGTTAGCAGAGGTTCAAGGCTCCCTGTTCTTGTGCGCGGGCCGCTTCACATATATGGGGGCAGCTTGGTGTGTAGGAAGGAGAGTTACTGTGAAAACATTGTCCTTCTTTTATAGGAAAGGATAGTTCAAGACGTTAACATGCTAGCCAAGTGTCGCAGCATACTATTTCTGTACCAGTGTTACCCAACAGTTCCCGTGGGTGTCCAATGGCTACAAGCCTCTCTGCATCATGAATGCTTCAGGAGAAGCCATCCCCTTCCAGCCTACCAGGGCAAAGACTGTGTGTTTGGAGAAGATGGCATTGTGCACCAGGCAACGCTCACAGCTGCAGAGGGTGGCGTCTTTTCAGCTTACCCTTCGGTTGACTTCTTGTTTTACATTTTTTTTTTATTTTTCAAAAATTCAACTCGATTCAAGAACTTTTATTTAACATTGATGCTTGTCAAGTTAAATACAATATAACTCTTGACTCAAAAAGTATCTCTCTCTCTCTCTCTCTCTCTCTCTCTCTCTCTCTCTCTCTTACTGTGTGTGTGTGTGTGTGTGTGTATGTGTGTGTGTGTGTGTGTGTGTGTGTGTGTGTGTGTGTGTGTGTGTGTAAGTGGGAGCTGGCACACAGCACAGTTTCTAAATATTCTTCACCTACCTTTGGTGTGCAGAGATGACGTGTTCTGTGAGCTGGATGTGACAGAGCTGAGACCGTGCTTTTCTACACCAGCTTATTCCCTTTCTTTTCTCTAAGCTGAAGAATTGTATATTTCAAGATGTTGTCAACAAGGAGCTTAAGAAGTTACAGTTGCGGAACATAACTAGCCCTCTTAGTCTGGTGTGAGAAGACAATTTCAATTAAGTAGACCAATAAAGAATTCTGACACTGGAAGGGGTTCTGTGATGCTATGCCATAAAGAAGATTTAACTGAAACCACCCCAGACACCCAAGCATCAGTGCTTTTTTTTTTTTTTTTCTGGTCCTGTTTTGAAAGGCCACCAGCGACATGCATGCCATAAACCCTGCAGACACACAGCTTAGGGCTTAACTTGCCAGCATAGGGTTTTATGATTACTACAAATCTCTGCTTGTGTTTTATTTGGCTTATTTATGACAATCTCACTAGGTAGGCCAAGCTGGTCTAGAACTTGGGATCCTCATGCCTCAGCCTCCAAGTGCTGGGATTATAGGCCTGTGCCAGCTGATGCAGCTTGCGTATGACAGTGTAAAACCTCTAACATTTTCTCTTTAAGATAAAGACTGAGAATAGCAAGTTGCCAGCCATAGTTGAGTAAGTGTTCATTAGGAGATGGAGCTCTATGGCTTATGTTGTCCTAAGAGTTTTCCTACATGCTGTGTGTCATTCAGTTATGAGGCTAAGTGAGATGACATTAGAGTTATGTCCAATGCAGAATTGTACAGCTACCAATGGCACTCCATTTTGAGGCTAATTTTTTGGTCATGTTCTCAGGTTGTCCAGGCTGAATGATTTCAGAACTCTTACCTTTACATCAGTGCTTGAGGAATCTTCACACACTCTGATGGTCTTTATCAGCTGTTATTGGGGGCATATATTCCAATGGCTGGGAGTGACTCTTGGACAACTCCCAATTCCAGGACTTCCTTTCTCTTCCTTTGTTCTTTCACACCCCCTACCTTCTCTCTTCTTTCCTCCTTCTCTTTCTTTCCTTTCTTTAGGGTTTTACCATGCATTCCAGCCTTCAATCTACTATGCAGTCCAAGCTGGCATCTAACTCATAACAATCCCCCTCAGAGGTGGGATCATGGACATAAACTGTCACACTCAGCATGCAGGACTTTCTAATAAGGCTTGAGAGTTGGCTCTTCTCTGAACTTAGGGTTCAAGGCTGCATGGCTCTTTGGTTGCCATGATGACACTGTAAAGTCTGCTTTCAGTTTGGGGCTCTTTTCTATGTCTGGGGTGTAACTGATGTCTTTGGTTTCTACAGGTGCATGAAGCTTGTTCATCCTTTCTGTCTACTGATCCCCGGTCCCAGGTAATTTCATATGAAGGTATTTTGTAATAATGGAGGCATGTCCTGCTGCTTAAAAAAATAAACCTCAATTCCCCCTTTGAACTCACTAAGACTGGTCACATATTAGATATTACTGTATTATCTTCAGGTATTACCAGTATCATGGTCTTCTGTTTTAAAAGGCTAACCTTTTATTTTTAAGTAAAATAAATTTCTTATGGAAATTGTGAGCTATCAAATGCTAATTTCAAAATCAAATTGTGTTAAAAAATGCTATACCTACTGCTCTATCTAGAGAGCTAATATCTCGCTCTTAAATGAGTTTGGAACCTATTGGAACACTTATCAAAAAGCTCATTTGGATATTGTTCTAGATTTAGTACCAGAATCAAGCTTTCTGGGAGGGCTGAGGCAGTGGCACTGAGTCTCCCTCCAGAGCTGAGGCAGATCTACATGAGTACAGCTGACCAGCATGCTGATACAGAAGACAAAAGGCTGGGGTGTGCCAGCCCACTTTCCTGCTTCCAGGCTGTCCAGGAGGCAGCTCATCTCTTCTCCCATAGGAGGAGGGATGAGGGGAGTGCTAGCCTACCTCCTCCACATGAAGACATGAGGAGCAGGAAATAAGTGTGCTATCCTTGCCCCAGTTTTACTGGATGCTGATACTTCCAGCAGCAGGTCTGAGTGCAGGGACCCAGAGTTCACTGTTCTGACTTTATTTTCCTATTCTGTACCTCCAGAATCCTTGACAGAAATGAATGTGCCTCATCCACATCCTCTGGCCAAGGCTAAATGACTATTCATATGGTTCTCCATATGGTGATCCTGGCAGGAGTGGATGCAATGCCACTTCCTAGCTGCAGAGATTTCCCTGCCAGAAGTCAGAGGCATTTGCATGGGGTTAGGCAGAGGGGAGGGAAGCAAGATCTTTTGAACAATATTTCAAATTTTTACTTTCAACTCCAACATTTGCCTTAGTTACTTTCTCACTGCTGTGAAAAACACCCCAGCAAAGGCAAGTGAAGGGTGGAAAGGTGTGTCCTGGCTCACAGTTCGGGGAAATACAGTCCATCATGGCAGGGGAAACGTGGTGGCAAGAGCAGCAGGCTGGCTGCTCACATGGCATCAGCACCCAGGAAGCAGGCAGCGACAGGAAATGGTTCCAGGCTGTAGAGCCTCAAGGCTCATCTTCAGTGATCCACTTCCTCCAACAAAAACTTCACCTCCCAAAGGCTCCACAGACTCCCACGAAGTGTCACAAACTGGAGACCCAGTGTTCAAACATGTGAGTCTCTGGGAGACATATTCAGACCACAAGAAGCACTGTCAGGTGAATGACATGGGATGGATGTGTGTCGGGGGAGTGAACACTGTACATGTGTGCTATGCGTGTGAAGGCTCCAGAGTAACATCAGGAATCATCTTCCATTCCTCTCCCACCTCATTCACTGGAGTAGGGCCTGTCAGTCAAACCCAGACCTTGCTTGTATGGCCAGTCTTGCTAACCAACTTGCTCTAGGGATCCCCTGTCTCCACCTTCTGAGGCTGGGATGGGGCTGCCGCACCAATCTTGCCTTTATAAGGGTTCTGAGGATCTAAACTCTGGTCCCCACACTTAGGCAGCAGTCACTTTAAGCACTGGGCCATTGCCCCAGCTCCACAAACTAACTCTTTATTGGACTTCATTTCTGCACACCTTTTTAAAAATTAATTCAATTTTTTTCATTTATTTTACATCCCGACCACAGTTTCCCCCCTCTCCCCCACCTCCCCGCTCCCCTTCCCCCATCCACTCCTCCTGTCTCCACTCAGAAAGGGGCAGGCCTCCCATTAAAAAGAGCCTGACAAATGTGCTTTCTGTCACTTACATTTATAGTGTATATACTAATTTCAATACATTTCGATACTTTAAATATCAATTTTCACATTAACTATTATTTTATTAACTTTGTGATTATCTGAACAGTGCTTCAAGATATTTCTCCAAATAAAAAAATCTCTAAGGTCCATAAATACAAGATAAAATATTACCTATCCCATGTACAAAAGCCCTTAAAGAATTGTTGAGAACAATGACTTCTTACAAAGAAGAGCTAGAGAAAACGCACTTATTTTGAAATGCTTCCAGTTGAAGGTCAGTGTTATTGCCAAATCTCTTCCAGCCTAGACACGGTTTCCTAAGAAGAGGCAGCCTATGTGTGTAGAGTCTTCATCAGTTGAAATGCTCTTTGACATGGGACGTAGCTAAGTATTTCATTTTTGTTACTTTGGATTTTACTGTATTTCTATTTAGGCTACTTGAGAAAAAGAACTATAGGGATTTTATTACCAGATTTTCATGCAATGCCCTGAAAGGAACATGTAAGGAAGGACGTATGACTGTGAACTTCCGTCTTTCAGCTTCCAATAGTTGGGGACTAGGCCTCACACCCAGTGAGTATTTATGTGACATCCCCAGCATCAGAAAACAACTGAAAAATAGTCAACTCCCAACGATAGGATCAGCAGGCATTGCTGAGGCCACCAAGGTGTATCTATAAGTAGAAGGCCTGGCTCCCAGTCTACACAGTCAACTACAATTTCATAAGGTACTGGACGAGTGGCAGTCTTGTAGGGCCTCACTTCCTCTATAAAAAGAGTATCAGTCTCTGTCCTATGTGCCTTGTCTATTTCAAGAACAGAATGCAGATTACATACAGGGGAGTATTTTGTGATGCATTGAAACCCCATGTATACACACGGTCCATTTTGTAGTATTCATATATATCCCAAGGGTTTGCCTGGGAAGCCAACAGACAGAAGGAAGATAAAAATAGACCTCTGGAGGTAGGAAGGATGCGAAGAGCATTGTATAGTGACTCCGACTGTGTTTCTAACCACAGGCAGCCATGTTAGGTGGCATTCCGGGTTCTTTTCTCTCAGTTTCTAAGTTGAGCGTACCTGAAGCAGTAAATTAAACCAAAGAGCTTTTCCTGCCTTTAATCCTTCCAGGAACTTCCTGCAGTGACCTCACCCCCAATTTCTGGCTGAAGAAACTGAAGTTTAGAGGGATTAAGTAACCAGCCTGCAGTAACACAGTGTGGCGTAGACATGGGATCCGCACTGCGGTCTGTTTTCAGTCCGTTTATCTTCGCAGGCTACACTTTAGCCACTGTTACATTGCCCCTGACTTCCAGACAGGAAGCAAGAAAGGAACCTATTAAGGAATCAGTGGTTCACAGGACGACTATGCCAGGTCCTGTGCAACGCAGGGTTTGCCCCTGCTTGTCCATTTGTGCCACTCCTTACCACGCCCCGCTGGCTGCCAACCGCAGGATCCCTGCCCTAATTCTGTGCCCCGATGCTTTGACAAACCTGATCCCGGGGTGTGCAGTCAGCAACCTGGAAAGGGTGGTACTCGGATTAGGCGCACCACGCACAGCTTCTTGTCCTTCGGTTCCCATTGTGTGCGAGCAATTGCAGGATTTTCAAATTAGCCAGTAATGAGTAATGTTCAGTGAGGCTCACAGCTTTGGCATGCACATGCACCTCGCTACAAGCTGGGGAGACTAATCCCCAGTTGGCACTGCCCAGGTTATCTTAGTCATAGAGTTCCGTGATGCCTCGGCAAAGTGTTGAGAACTGTGTAACTGGACCACAGTGAAAGGCTCCATCGGTGCAGAGCAGCTGCAAGGAAAGAAGGATGTTTTTGTTTGTTTCGCGCGCGCGCGCGCGCGTGTGTGTGTGTGTGTGTGTGTGTGTGTGTGTGTGTGTGTGTGTGTGTGTGTGTGTGTACATGGGAATACATACCCAAGTACACTCAAGCAGAGGCCAAAAGCAGACATCATGCATCTTCCACTATCTCTCTCCACCTTGTTTTTTGAGATGAGAGTCTCATAGAACCTGAACTTTGTCACTGTGTCTAGACAGCAAACTCCCAAGATCTACCCGTCTCCATGCCCTATGCTGGGGGTTACAGACATACTCAGCTACGCAAGACTTTTGTGTAGGTGCTAGGGATTTGAACTCAAGTCCTTTTGCTATCCCTGCAAACTCTCCTCCCTGCTGAGCCATCACCCTGGCCCGAGGAGTTTTAGCAGCCAAAAGGTTATTATGAGAGAAATCAAGAGAGCGCTACCACGTTTCGGTGGACCGCCGCGAGACCTCTTCGCAGCGTAGGTGGACCATCCTTGTGCTTCCGACATCCTCAGTTTCACCTTCCGTGCAGATGTGGTGCGAAGTGAAGCACAGCCCATGTGTCTTCTTGTTTGCCTTAGGCATCCCCCCCACTGAGGGAGCTTTGCCGAGCGGTGACGGAGAGCCTCCAAAAGCCTCAGGTAAGACTGAAGTCCTGTAGGCAAGCAAGCAAGCAAACAAACAAACATCCTGAAATTCCCCCCCCTCCTTCTTCTTCTCCTCCTCCCCCTCCTCCTCCTCCAAGAAAATATGCCCCATTTAGGAAGCGTGTCAACAGGAGCTAGAAGACACATTGACTTGGGATAAGGAACAAATGCTTCAGTTTCTCTGATACCTAATGTTTTAGGATAACGTTGGTAAAGTTCATAATCAACTGATTAGGAAACCACATGTCTCCTTCAAGCACAAAATGTGGTCCGATGGAAGACATTTATGATCATACCGTCTTTATCTTTCTCGCCCACTTGCACAATTGGGAGACAAGAAGGAATCTAAGTTGCTACATGTTGTTATAGTGTAGGGCATTAGGAACGGGAAAACATGGCTGGGGAGAACATTTGGCTGGCACATGTGAAGCCTCAGTTTTCACACCAGCATTGGGAAAAACAAACAAACAAACCAACACAAGGAAGAGCAAACCAGACAACCGCATTGTCAACGTCTGTTTGAAAATTCTGTTTGCTTCTGTGTCCTGGTTTCTGGCTGGAATTATTTGATTTTCCTGGGAGGGTGTTTTGTGAAGACAGCTGGAAGCCTGAGAAACGGTGTACATTTACCCTCAGGTTCTAGGCTGTGTTTCAGGTTGAAGGAATTTTAAAACTCCTTTCTTCAGGGTGAAAGCCTTGCATTCCAAATGACATATTTCATCAGCATCTCAAACCTACCCTGTGGCTGATGGCCCATCCACTCCAGCCTCCAAATCTTCCATGAACAATGTGACTCAAGGAAAGAGACTTCGATAGTTCGAAGGCATTGATGGCTTCTGAAACTTCATAGTCATCAGCAAGTTAATCTATTCTTTCTAGTGGCGATGTTCCCCTCCGAAAGTGTAATAAAATGTAACGTTTTTCTAATTAAGATAAAGGAAATGACAGTAACATCTATCCATCATCATTCTTTGGTGCTAAGAACAAATGGGACAAAAAAGATGATATTACTCTTAAAACACAGACATCTTAGAGACGAAGGAACAGAGGGAAGTTTATGGCAGAAAAAAATAACTTGTGGTTCTATTTAGTGTAACACGAATCTTGAAGGGTCTTATTAATTAAAAACCCGGAGCCAGATATTGGGGTGAAAACTGAGAGATCAGAGAAGCAGAAAGAAGCCAGCCATGTGCTTACCACTAGGAAATCCTCAGCCAAAAAGATAGCCACTTCCTGTCTACTCACACCTATATGCCTTGCTGTTCTGCCATCTGATTTGCTCTCTCTGTCCAGCTACATCACTTCCTCTTTCTGCCCAGCTCTGTCACTTCCTGTCTGTCTATACAGACCTCCAGACCTCTATGGTTAACTAGCACTGGGATTAAAGGCGTGTGCAACCATGCCTGGCTCTGTTCTCAGTGTGGCCTTGAACTCACAGAGATCTGGATGAATCTCTGCCTCCCAAATGTTAGAGTTAAAGGTGTGTGCTACCATTGCCTGGCCTCTGTTTAATATAGTGGCTAGCTTTTTCCTCTGATCTCCATGCAAGCTTTATTTATTAGAGCACAAATAAAATATCACCACAATTTAGTGATGACAATTAAAAGTATTTTGATGTCTGTTTATTAATTTTCTCTGGATACTCCATTATGTGATTGTATTATAATTTCCCATTCCACCACTGTTAAACATTGAGCATGCCTTCAATTTTTTACTCTTATAAGTAGTTTTGTAGAAAAGATCACTGTCTACATTTTTATAAATAATATTTAATCAATTTTCCATTTATTTTTGGAGCAAAAGATGCTTAATCAATTTTAGTCCTATGTTTGAAATACAACATATTTTAAAATGTTTACATAATTCATAATTTCAAAATATGTAACATAAAGTTTTATAATGTATGTTATAATGATATATATCTCTTCACTAGGAAGAAAATGAAAAAGATAATACTAAGAGGGTAAGGTGATTTTCCTAAATACATATTCCCTATAAAGAGTAGAGGAAGTCTCAGCTCTTTTATATATGACTCTGCTTTCTGTTTTAACAGTTCTTATTTCATTATTCAAAGACAGAGAAGTCAGGAAACTCAAATATTGTGGTAAGTAGTCACTAGCATGTGTTTAAGAGAAAATTGATTAAAAAAATTATCTAGCAAAGCATGAGACCGAAACTCATATTTTTTACTCAAAAAGTTATGCATGGGTCTAATGATGTAGCTCAGTGTTTCATTCTTCATTACCATAAAGGGAAAAAACCGAGTTTATATGTGACTGAATGAATGGAAATCAATATCTACTATATGCTTTTCATGTCAATGACTACATGTGCCTTATAGTCACTCATTCACAATCATGTGTCAGACACAACTCTAAATGCTAGAAATATGGTAGTAAGTAGAAAACATTTAAGAAAGAAACCCCTCCTTCATCAATTTGTATTCAATGACCAAATAAAAAAGTCTAAGAACAAACAAATAAGTAAAACAAATTGTTTGGGTTCATACTAATGCAAGAGAAAAATAGTATCATCCAAAGGCATTTTAAAAGACAATTCTTTCAAAAGGCAAGTATTGATGGCTAACTGGAAGTCTCATCTATTCTTACTCATTATCACTAGGTAGATGTTCGTTGTGAGAGTTTATCTCTGAGTAACCAGAGATGGGAACCTCGGTTCAATTCACATCCAACTCATGTAGCTTTGGGTTTGTTTGCTTTTGTGATTTCATTTTAGTTTCAGTTTTTGTTTTTTTTGTTTTTTGTTTTGGTTTTTTGAGACAGGGTTTCTCTGTGTAGCTTTGCGCCTTTTCCTGGATCTCGCTCTGTAGACCAGGTTGGCCTCGAACTCACAAAGATCCACCTGCCTCTGCCTCCCGAGTGCTGGGATTAAAGGCGTGCGCCACCACCGCCCGGCTAGTTTCAGTTTTGCATGGATTTAAGAAACACAAACTGACTAGCTAGGGCTGTCACATAGTAGCAGAGTCCTTGCATACTGGAAACAAGGCCCTGGGTTTGATCTTCTGCACTGGGAAAACAAATAAATATAGAAATGATTTGACTATAATGTTCTTTTTAAGCTTGGGATCCATTACCATGCACAGTTTAGGGAATGAAAAGGACAGTGGTGGAAACATGTGGTGGAAAAGGTAAATGTGAACTTAAACTGTATCTTAAATTCGTACCGCACGGAATAACCTTACATGTGAATAGATGAAAGTTTTAAGTTAGATTAGCTACACATCAAACACAGGTTGCATTCATGAACAGATAATCATTATCTAGGGTTGAAAGTCATCCATTTGTTAAATGAATTCAATGCTAGTGAGGAGGCCCAATTCCACCCAGACCTTAAGAGAGTGCAGCTGTATCAGGTGGCCATGTGTCTCAGATGTGCCTTCATCTTCTTCCACGCGACATCTTCTCATTTTTAGAAAGTGTAATGTTTGTCACCTTTCCCACTACCAACAGCACATTGTCATCTTCGTGTCCCCTGTTGTCTCGCTCTTGTCCCACTTTAAATATTTAACTTAGGAAGGAGATTTCCAGGTGTGTGCTAGAAGCGTCCAGGTAACCATGGTTGTAAGGGAAAATGGATACTTGTAAGCTGCCTTCGTCTGGAACCAATTATTTTGAGTAAGTGTAGAAGATGACAGATGGCTTTTCGCCTCCCAGAGAGGCAGCCTGGGGATGCACCTGTTGCAATTGTAACAGATCCGAGGCCCTCAGCAAAATGCTTCTTCAAACAATGACAACCAGCTTAGCGTAGACTGGCAACCTGGGCCACCTCTTGGTTTAGGGACTAGCAAATTCTGTCCCACCCCTTGGTTTTACAGCAGTTCTTTAAAGGGCTCACAATGGGCTGTCTTAGATAACATCTTTAATTTCCTTTTTGGGGTCCTTTGGTCTGGGGTGAGAATAGTGAGTAAAAAGCAGACAGACAGACAGACGGGAAACCATCTGACTGCCCGATGCTGAAGTGTGTGTTCATGTCCTCAGTCGTCCATTGTGCATCCGTTGCTGCAGCTCGTCCCTCAACTGCATGAGAGAAGAATGAAGAGATTCAAGGTGACGTATGCAACCCAAACTGCATGCTGGCTTTGCCACTCTGGGCCAGGCCCTTCTGCTAACTGCAGCTGGGAACCTTTGTAAAACACCCTTCTTCAGGGTGACCCTCACATTCATCCTCAGTGGTGGCTTTCTGTCACAATGACAGTGTGTCGGAGAGAAAATGACTTCCAAAGAGTATGTGGGCTCAGCGTTGTTAGAGCTTTCCATCTCGGGTCAGCTTGGCAAGCCCCATGGCTTTATATCTGTGACAAGGCGGAGAATCATGGTGAGGAGTGTTCAGCTGAACAAAGCCTCTCACTCTATGGTGACTAGGAAGTGGGGGGAGGGAGGAAAAGGCTAGTATCCTCATTCTCTTCAAGTGAATGCACTCAGTGACATAATTTCCTGCTAGCTTCACCTTGGAAAGATCCCAATAGGACCACAGGCTGCTGACCAAGCACAAGGTCTTTGGGAGACATTTCACATCCGAATCATCACATACTTGGTTAACCTGCATAATCACGTCATGCAATCTTTTCTCCCTCTCCATGTTCTGGCCCCTTCTAGCTCAACCCCTGGACACTGAGGAAAACTGGGGTGTCTATACCCTTCCATGACACTCTCCTTGAGAAAATGTTTTCTTGGTTTAAGAAAGGAAACTGCTGGGTGTTTGATCTTTAGGGAGGAATTGGAAATCCAATCAAGCACAATTTATTACCCCTATATCCTTGCTGACAAATAGCTAGGGTGGCATAATTTTTTTTTGTCCAAGTGTTAAAACATTGATAAGAATAAGGATCATAAATATACATATCATAAAACAAATGTCAATGTTTTATTTTTCCCATGGCTAACAAAAATAGGACCTAAATCTAGTGCCAATGTGTAAGTAAATATAACTAAGCTAACACATTGTTAACTAGAAACTGAATTTTCAGGGTCAGTGAAGAACAATTCTAATGCTTTTTGTGTTGGAACTCCTGGGTAGCATTTTAAAGTGAGACATTGCATTTTGGGTTTAACATTACCACCTTTGATTTATTGGGAACCTGGCTGGGCTTTTGCAGGTTCTGCTACCTCAAGTTAACGGAAGGGAAAGTCACATTAGTTAAATAAGTTTCCATGAGCTGTCTAGTATGAGAGGCAATAGTACATTTAACCAACCCTTAGACCGTCCTTAGTCTAGGCAATAAACAAACAAACAAAGAACTTTTTCATTGTGATATTTCCTTTATGGTTTAATGATGGTTACTTCATTATTATATGGCTATCGTTACATATATTACTTTTAAAAGCTGAATTCAGGTCTAGTGTTTTCTTAACTTTGATGCTGTATTTTTTAATTCTTTGTAAAGCACATTAAAAAAAAGCAGACAGTTAGATGAGTAAATGTCCCGGAATTTATTTTTTATGGTCATTATTTCCTCCTGAAATTCTTCATTTTTTAGCTTCAATTGAATACAGCTATCTGTCGCCAACTCTAAAGAGAAATCTAAGAGGGAATTTAATGGCTCCTTAAATTTGTAGGATTTTCAAGGTTGGGAATATAGCTCAGTGGTAGAACACTAGCCTGGCATGCGTGAGGCCCTAAGTTCAATTCCAGCACCACCCACCCCGCAAGTGGCAGAATTCCTGGAGTGAAGAGGAAAGTCAATTGTCATCAAGTTTTCTAGAAATAAATGCACACTTGAAAAAATTTACTTTATTTCCTACAATGTCTATATTAACCAGTGATAATTGTTTTTGACTATATTATCTCAGTCTCACTATTTACACGAGGAAAGATGGAGTAATTTTCATTATCATGACCAATTTAGCACACAGTCCCATTTTCTGGCTTGAGTGAGACTATGGTAGTTGCAGACAGCTATCTGAAAGCTTGAGACCAGTGGGAGCAGATGCTTCCAAATGAAGGTAAATCCTGAAGACATTCTCCCACAGGGTCTTTAGGAAACTCCAAGAGCAAAGAATGTAAGAGATGAATGAAAAAAACAACTACAGTAGAATGTTGGCCATGCCGGCCAACATCATCTAATTTTAAAATACAGTTTTATAGTGAAATATCTTAACTCTCAAAGAAAAAAATTGGATTTTAATGCATTCAAACATTTCCAGTTTTGTTTGCTAGATTCGTGCCTTTTTATCTTTCCTTTCCAAATTCTTTTCGTTATTGAGGACTCCATCTCTGATGACTACACCCTGAAAAACTTTCCTTTGGTGTTGTTTGAATGTTTTAAGTAATTATTAGATTTAATTTTTATGGTGTTGATTTTAAAATCTTGAATATACATAGAAACTGTTTTTAGACAAGTACCTAAACACAGAGTTTCTGTGTATACATTTTAAAAACCAATGTTTCAATCTTAAGTAATTTGAGGGATATAGTAAAAATAAGAATTAAATACAAATATTGAGAATTAGAGATATATTTTCTGTAAATCAAGGATTTATGAACCTAAATAGATATCAGAGGCATTTCTTAGGATAAAGAATATAACCCTACTTATAGGAAAACTGAAAACAGTTTGACTGATGAATTTATTGATCACCATGAATTATTAAGGCAAATAGGAAGCTACAAGGCAATTCTATGGAAACTATAAAATGTTAAATATTCTTTCCATGAAGTTTAGAATGGTATGCTTAAGTAACACTATGCAATATGCCTGTAATAAATACATAGATGTTCCAGTTTTGCATTGTTTTCATTATAATTCTGCACATACAATAATATTAAGGCAACCTCTTTCAAGGCATTGACTAAACATACATTGGCCAAAGTTGACCTTCAGTTTTCATGTAGAATATTATATTCTTGCTTTAACTGCAATTCCAGCTTGTATTTCCCCTGTTCATATGTAACCACATTAACATTTATGTTAAAGAGAGTGTTTTATTCTAGCAAAATGTCAAGAAGAGACTTTTTTTTTTTTTTTTTTGGTTTTTCGAGACAGGGTTTCTCTGTGTAGCTTTGCGCCTCTCCTGGAACTCACTTGGTAGCCCAGGCTGGCCTCGAACTCACAGAGATCCGCCTGGCTCTGCCTCCCGAGTGCTGGGATTAAAGACGTGCGCCACCACCACCCGGCAAGAAGAGACTTTTAAATACACTGTGCCTGACATTTTCTTTCTACTTACTGAAGAATAGACATACACTTAACAAAATTCCTAAAAGGAAACCTATAAAGAAAGCCTGTTTAAATACACCATTCTGGGGATACTGGCAATTGTTGAGATGATTCAGGTATAAACATAGTAGTTCTCTATGACATGAGTACTCAAGGCTTTTGTGCCTTCGGTTGAGTAGAGCTTCACGACACTCTTAAGAGGGCTCTGCACTTCATTTAATGTTGCTTAATGTGTGATGTCACCCTTATCTCTTCCAGGAAGAATTCCAGAGTCCGTTTGCTGGTCAAAGTAGGGGATACTTCTTATTCAGGGTATGTGTATAGAGCATTTGATGACCTTGATATAAGAAAATTGGCCAAGTATTTTCAGTGTATGTTCACCGAATGAACTCATTTTAACGAAGTTTTGCAGTGAACGTACAGACATGGGACATCCCGTGTCTCATTCTGCTTTCACTTCTGCACCACCCTATTGTTTTAAACTGCAGCATCTCTAATCTCCCTTTCACTCATCCTGTGTGTCAATACTCCAATGACACTCTGTACTTCACAGTTTAATTTCATGATAATTTGTGCAAAGGAGACCAATTTTTAGAGCTACTTCACGAGTCTAAGGAATCAGTTGTTAAAGTTTTGATCCAATAGGGAGCAAGAGTTGTGACTATGTTTACAAATTCTTAAGATTAAAAATTCAATGATAATAAAAGCTACAAGTAGAGATAACTGTGACTGTGCTTATCATTTTGCATTTGTGTATAAGTTTGCTCTAGACAGGATATTGCTGCAATATGTAGTTTCTTAACACATAACCAGAAGGTTGAACATTTAATAAATGTATCCAGCAACTGATTACTGGACTTCTAATAGGTGCTAGGGAAGGTATCAATAGTGGGAGTGAAAAGATAAAGAAGATGGGCTAAGAGCATATGCTACTCTTACAGCGGACCAGAGTTCAGTTCCCAGCACTCACTGCAGGAAGCTCATAACCTGTAACTTCTGCTCCAGGGCATCTGGAGCTCTCTCCTGACCTCTGTGGGCACCTGCATTCTTAAACATACACCGACACATACATATACATAATTTACGGTAAAATAAAATGTTTTAAAAAGAAGATAGAGTTCAGCTTCTATACCCTAGTCTTTACAGCCTGATATAACAAATAGATAAATACAGCTAAGTAGAGTCACCTCTTGGTATCCATGGGGGATTGTTTAAAGAAACCAAAAAGCAGAGGATACTTAAGTCCTTTATATTAAATGATGTCCTAGTTGTATAAAACCTACCACATCCTTTGTAAGTCATTTTTAGATGAGATTTGAGACAAACCCTAGCTGGAGATTGGAGGTGACATGGAGATTGACTGTATGTATGAATGCTGCATTAGACAGGATGTATTTAATGAAACATGTAGCTGAAATTTCTCAACTTTATGCTGAAGTCGAAGGTGATGCTTCTGTGGAAAGATTTACGTCAGCCAATTGGAGAATGGACTGGACTGGATTACAGGACTAGACTGACCACAGGAATATATAAAATGGAACCACCATGATTTCAGAAAGTTGACCTTGGTTTGTATCAAAATGAAATTGGAGAACACAACAATCATCGAATGTTGGTTCGCTATACGGGTAGTTTCTAAATTATCACGGCCCTGACAGCTTTAGCCATGTCTCAGAACTTGGTAGAAACACACATTTTCAAGTTCCACCTAAGACTCAGTAAATCAGAAACTGCAGTTGCGGGGTCCAAAGCTTGTCAGGCGGCCTCAATGTACACTAAGGATACTTGTTTATAGCACTAGGCACTAGGCTTCTTTCAATGGCATTTACCTCACATCATTAGTTACAATGACTTCTTTCTAATTTATTATTTTGCAGCCACGCAATGGGAAGAGGTCAACAGGCTTCATTTAAAATGGTATGTGTTCAATAAATAAATAAATATGAAACAGTATGTATTTCACAACTGAACTCAACTTGGAAGTTTCACAAACTAAACTATACTCAAATCTATTTCGGTTGTTCAATTCCACTGGTACACTAACATTATATATAAATACTACAATTGTAGGGCCAATGCAGGCTTTAGGAATGGGAAGTACTGGTATTTTAGGGCTAGATTTGCTTTGATCCTGGGATTCCTTGGTCTATGACACAAGAGTAGTCATCTAAAGAGATTTTTGGAGATAATGGTCCCACCATAGTTTATTGTATATGTCATAATGTGTCAGGGATTTCATTCCCGTTCTGTTAGTCAGTGTCCACCAGAGTGGGCCAGGATTCACTGGCATGCACTTCTGTCTTCCAAATAACTCATACTCAAAAACTCTTTGTTAAGTCTGGAGATGTAGCTCAGTTGATGGAATGGTGGCCTACCACGCACAAAGCTACATAGCCGTCCTCAGGACAGATGGAGCTACATGAGACCCTATCTCAAAAACTGGCAGGTTGGAGGGCACTGGAGACATGGCTCAGAGTTAAGAGTGATTGCTGTCTATTCAGAGGACCTGGATTTGGTTCCACCACCCACACTGGGCAGCTCTCAATTGCCCATAACTAACTCTGGCTCCTAGGGATCTGACACTCTCTTCTGACATCCACAGGCACCCCAGCCCCCCCACACACACACACACAAATTTTGAAAAAAATTAAAAAGAGCAAAGCAGAAATGTCTTAAAGCAAAAATATCTAGGTCTTTGAAAAATTAAGTTATTTCACCAGCTTATTCTAGAAAAGAGACAAAACTACAGATATACAAAAACAAAAATGAAAAGACAGACATCAAAACAACTAGAGAAGTGAAAATCACCAAGGACACTTTGCACACATTCACAAAGTGAAATGGAATTTGATCAGGTTAGTATGAATTTCTCTCTGAAGTTGAGGAAACATAGCTTCATGGTCTAGTCCCAAGGTTGGGGTCTACATAGTCTATTTTGCTCAGGATTTTATTTACCAATAGAGTAGTATTCAACAGTCATTTCCCTCTTGATTTTGTCATCTGATTAACTAATCTCTTGCTTTATCCTGATGACATGTAGTAAGAAAATAAGTATAAAATGTGAATGATGTCATGGCAGATATATGAGTAAACTAACAGGAAAAAACATTTTTGATAGCTCTTATTTTATTCAAACATCAGTCTCATCACATGTGGTCCAAGAACATTCAAATAAGAACTTAAATGAAATCAGGTATAGAAGGTCAGTCTTTGAATATTATAGCTAATGGCGTCACATTTGCTCATGATCTCAGATAGAAACTCTCATCCACGCCTCAGTGGCCACCACGCCATTCAGCAGGGCTTCCTTAACTGTGAGTTCTTTAAAACTCCCAGTCTCAGCACTTGGGATTTTTTTTTCACCATCTAAATAGTTGTAAGGAGCTTAGCAGGAGTTGGAGGACCAACTTAGCCTTGGTACAGAGCCAGAATGTGGCCAGTTGAGGCTTGGATCAAGTCACAGCAGCACTCAGCAATGCCGGGGTCTCCTCTGTGAGGTTACAGATGAACTGGGCCACGATCTAAGGTAGAAGTAGGGAAAACTTGAAATACTTACAATTCTTATTGGTACTGATGAGCTTTGGTAAATTACTTTCATATTATTAAATATTATAACCTATTGAGACATACAGATGTGTGAAATAAATGTGCCATCGGAGAGTGATTAAGTGATAAATGATAAAATACACATACTGAGATGAGGAATGGAGAGAATGTTGTAGGAAAGAGAGAGAGGCTGAAGAACAGTTGGGATATATCTCAATTGCCAATGTTAATATACTATAACAAAAATTCATAGATAAGCACTATATGTATGTATTCCTAGTCTCACATATATGTGAATCTAACTCATTTTTCTTTTTGCAGGAAACAATGCGATCTACTCACATTTTGTTTTAAAAAATGATCCCTCCTAAATTTACTCTGTGGCAAATCCCTGTATTGTAACATTCTCCATGATAGTTGACATTGTAAATGTTTAATTTGCTGAAAATAAAAAAGCATCTTAAAAATCTTTCATGTGGTGTTGCAGTGATCCTTTGTGCACAGCAAAGCCGCCCCTGACGATGCTCCGGAGGTCCTGCCGCTCTTGGTACTGTTGGCACACGTAGCTTTCAGGCGTTTACTAAAGACACTCAGCGAGAACTGGCTGAACTATGTTAGTTTCTCCAGTTTGGATTATCTCAGTGATAAAATCATCAGCTCTTACAAGCATCTGAATGCAGATTGTCATGATGGCACATGTCTGTAATTGCAGCATTTAGGATACTGAGGCAGGATACAGGCAAGCTCAAGGCTAGCCTGGGCTGTGCAGCAAGGCTCTATCTAAAACAAAAACAACAACAACAAATGAAGCAACAACATAATAGAGTGCTATTATGGGAATTACGTGAGTTATGACTTACTCGGTGTTCCAGTAAGCAAGCTGTGAGTTATGAATGACAAAGTAGACTTCAGGTTGCTACAAATGTATCAAAGGGCTTTCCCTGGCAACTGGCAGTAATTGGTTTATCTGAAATTGTTTCTCCTTGTAAGCAGTGAAGGGCAGCCAACCTGTTCACTACCAGGAAGAAAATAGCCTTTTGAGGAACCATGCCTGGGGCATTTAAATAACACACTTCATGAAGAAAGTTCTTGAATTACTCTTCCTACCAAGCCCTGGGAAGGGCATAAATTAAGAAGAAGCTGAGAGAGAAAAAAATCACATCCTTCCTTTAAAAGCAAATTGCCTTGGCAGGGTGAGCCTCAGAGCAACGAGGGCCCACTACTCTAAAGATGCGTGGGCCAGCATTAGCTATCTGTACACAGTAGTTCTAGTAACTTGAATTCTAAAATAAATTCTTTAGTTAACATACATCCTATCTTATGGTATTTTCACTATACCTATATATTACATATGAGAAAAACATGCACTATTTTGTCTTTTTTGGTCCTCCCATTACCTTCTTTGGTCAAAATAAGAAAAGGGGGCTTGAATACTAGGCAGGAGGGTCCCTTAAAAATCCAGATAGACACGAATTGTAATTTTAAGGAGCTTCACGTAAGGGTGAGAGGCAGAAATACCAAGACACGGTGGCAAAGACCGATGTTTCCACTTAACAGTGCGTCACACACAAACGCTATAGGATGCTTGGAGTGTGGAATCTGTATTAGAATCTCTATTAATCTGCACTGATCACCGCAGGTGAATTGCTTCATTGCTGAACTCAAGTTTAAAATTGTGTTAAAAAGTACATTTTTTTTTCTTGTTTTTTAACTCCTCTAGAGTATATCTCTGGGAGCATGTGCATAAACTTGTATGGTTGTTTCCCTAGTAAATCCTTCCTAGTAAAATCCTTTCCTTAACATAAACACAGAGAAAGCCCAACTGTCTATGTTTCCTACCTAAGCCAGAGCCCCTAAAAGGAACGAGGTCCTTTCTTCTAATGATTTTTGTCTTGCTTTGACTTTGTTTCTTTGAGACAGGTTCTCAAAGCCCATGTACCATGCTCCTTCCTCATCCACCTGAAGGTTAGGATCACAGGCGTGTGGTGCAGGTGAAGCTTATAGTCTCACTGAGAATCTGATGGAAAAATTTTGGTCCAAATTAAAAAGAAAAAAAAAGACACAAAAACAATTACACTCACAACTTGAGGGAAGTGCTTAGATGCCCCCTTTGGTCCAAATTAAAAAGAAAAAAAAAAGACACAAAAACAATTACACTCACAACTTGAGGGAGGTGCTTAGATGCCCCCCCCCCTTTTTTTTTTTTTTTTTGGTTTTTTCGAGACAGGGTTTCTCTGTGTAGCTTTGCGCCTTTCCTGGAATTTGCTTTGGAGACCAGGCTGGCCTCGAACTCACGGAGATCCGCCTGCCTCTGCCTCCCGAGTGCTGGGATTAAAGGCGTACGCCACCACCGCCTGGCTTAGATGCCCCTTAAAATTCTATCTCCAAACAGACTGTGGGCCCAGGATAAGAACTCCTTTGCAGAGTTCGCCACACCCTCCCCCAAGGAATTTTTTTTCTCCTTGAACACTGGATTCAACCTTGACGAGTAGGCTTGGACATGGCGGTGGTAGAGGAAGGTAGAATGAACAGCACCACGAGCACCACGTGACCAATAGGAGAGCTACTGCTCCAGATAGATGCCCCAGGGGACCTGATGCACCAGGGTCCACACACCTGGGAACCAGGCCTCTGTGTTGCCTGGCAACTGAGCTTACCGTTGCACATGCGCAGGAGATCCTGTTCCTCTTGCCCTGCCCCTGGGGCGTTAGAAACCGCACACTAGAGCTGGCTGGCTCCCTCTGACAGTCTGGAGGACGTTTGGGACCTTGACCCCTAGTGAGGGGCACAAGAGAACATCATGCAGGTGAGGGTCTGGCCTGTAGGTGACCTTGGAGCCCTGAGTGGGGATAAGCCAGTTAGCTCCAAGCTGAGGGGCGTAAATGGAGTGGTGCGGGCCCTCCCCAGGGTTATGTTTTGACATTTGTTTTTGGTAAGTGCTATTTTGTGCGTCTCTGTCTAGTTTTAAGAGAATGCCGGTTTTTGATATTCAAGAGTCTCATGGGAGGCTGGAGGAGACACTCAGTTGCCTTTTACCCTCGAGTCCTGGAAACTCAAATGCTATGTTATTTCTGAAGTAAGAAAGGAACAGCATTGGCCCAAGTGGAGTCAATGTAACTGTCCTCTCATTTATATTCTTTTAAAAGGAGGTAGGGAGTGCATCCATTGGCCTGTGAGGTGGCTCAGCGGGTTAAGATGCTTGCTGCCAAGCTTGAAAACCTGAGCTGGATCCCTGGGACCTACCTGGTGGAAAGTGAGACCCAACTTCCTCAGTCTTCTGATATGCACGTGCACACACACACACACACACACACACACACACACACACACACACTTAAATTTTTGTAAATAGAAAGTTTTAAGTTACAAGTTTAAGTTTCAAGACTTTGCGTCTGGGTAATTTCACAAGGTGATGTTTTTCATTTGTGAGATCTTTATAATAAAATTGTAATTTAGAAAAGAGTCTCCTCCATTGGTCCCTCCGTGCCGTTTTCCCTTCCTCCCTTTTCTCCTTTCTCAGAGTGAAATCCTCACTTTCTGACCTAAGGAAGAGCCTTCTCTTACTTGCTCCCTGGTGAGGTGCATTGGGATTTTCTTGGTTTGCCATACTTACTTGGGGCCGTTTTGTAGACCATACAATTTATGAAGCTATTTGAAGCATAATTCACGTGTAATCAAGCCCCCTCACGTTAGACGGCTGTTATCAAGGGCATTTGTACAGTTAGCCCGGCCATGCAGTCTGTTCTGCTTTGCAGGATCTGCTTTGCAGGATCTGCTTTGCAGGAGTTCTGCTGGAGTGAGGCCTACAGAGAGCAGCAGCACATTGAGCTCCCTTTGCCTCACTATTATTTTCCATTGATTTATTCCACAGCCAGTTCTTAGGCTCTAAACACGGGCCTGTTCTATTAGAGCGTGTCTCAGAATAATAAAGATAACTACAGCATGGCAAAAACACTCTTGCCATTTGTGGAAATCGATGTTGGCCCCTATTTCTGTTAGGTAACATTTCATACATAATTCTAAAAGTCAAGGGAAGGGCGCAGTTGAACACTGTTATGTTATATTAAGTCGCATTGCAATGAAGTCCTTGAGGGGTTAAGTGAGAACAGTTGAGAAGTTTGACTAAGTATATAAGACTGTATGATCAGGTCTTTCAAGAAGAGTGTTTATCGAGAGAAACTCAAGTCAGAGCCAGTTCGGTGTATAAGGACTGTTCTTTTCAATCAACAACACATAGCATGTAGGTAACCCAAGCAGAGCGAGCTCACAGAATGTCCGACGATGCAACAGCTAAGGATTGGCTACAATTCCAGTCCCTCTCAATTGTCCCTTCTAAGAAATGTAGCAATGCTAAAGGAGAGAAAGTACCAAAGGACTGCGAAGTGCAGAACTTGTTCTATCAAGGTGATCGCTGGGAGCTGGCGAGATGAGATGGCTCAGTGGATGAAGGCGCTTTGCTGCCTTGCCCCAATGATGCACGTCTCCCGACATGAGTTAGATCCTGAGACCCATGGAAAGATAATGTCCTCCACATGTATGTCATGGCATGTGTGATCCACACACCAGAGAGAGAGAGAGAGAGAGAGAGAGAGAGAGAGAGAGAGAGAGAGAATAAAATTTCAGGAAAAATGTAATTACTAGAACTGGCAGTAACAGCTGGCTACGTTACCCAGTCCAGCTCTCCTACTGAATAAAAATAAAAATGTCTAGAGAGGGAACTGTAGAAGAAATGTCTAGAGTATCTTCTCAGAGAGTCACAGGAGCCCCTGAAAGTGTCAGAGAGGTGGCATGATAGGAAGAAATAATTACATCAAAATCAAGGGGGAATGGAAACCAGTAGAATGTTAAGATGCCTAGGACCTTAGAGTAGGCAGGTCTGAAACGATGGTAGGAGACCAGATGTTTTCACCCCAAACATCTGTGGCATGAGAAGTATTTTGAGCAAATACAAGAGAAGCTCTGAAAACAGGGAAACCGTTCTTTTGAAGGAGAAATTGACATCCATAAAGAAATCTTCATCTTGAGGTATTAGTCTTTGTATGTGTGTATCAGAAAACTGATTCTAGTTCATAATGGGGTGTTACCTGTAAAGAGGGTACCCACATAGACAAGTGTGAACAAAGCCCTCCCTGCCCCCGAGCCTCACCTAGAACTCACCTTCCTGACATCGTTCTTTATTTCAGCTGAAAATAACAAGTAAACCTGGGTTTCAGACCACCTTTTGATATGTCATTTCTCATTGCAATATACATATTAACAACTGTCTGTTTCACTGCACTGCATTCCAGAAGTCCATCCCTGCTAAGAACTCAGAAGTGTGTGGACGTTGGAGCAGTATCCTCCACCCACCCCATTCTGCAATCTCCAAAGCCAGTTTTAGCATGAAAGCATTACAAATTTTGTGTTTTGGTTTTGGGTACAATCGCAGGGTCAGTAAGAACTAAAGAGTATGGTTCACCCAAGGATGGGAGACAACCAGGAGGGTGAGTAGGACCTCTGCCTAAGGAAACTCAGGGAAGATTGTCTTGATGCTTGGTGGTCAGGAATCAAACCTGCCCCTTAAGTAGTCTTGGCCCATGGCAGCTTTCCCACAGATTTACAACAACATTGTTATTGAGGAAGACATTTTTGTGTTCGGTCTTAACGAATTCCCACCAATAAAATTTCAAAGACAGCGAGCGGAAACCAGCCAATGGTATAGCTCACACAAAGAACAAGGGTGGCACAATCCTGAACCAGTGAAACAACTTGCAGAGATCTCCAGTGTTAGAATGGACAGAAGCCAGTTAGGAAACAATTGTGCTTATTGTATTCCAAAATTTCTACAGGAAGTAGTTGAAGACCATAAAATTTTTATAAAGATATTTCTGTGTACTAACAATAAAAAACTTCCATTTATCATAACATCAGAAGGAACAGAATACAAAGGAATAAACTAAAGAGGCTGAAGACTTACATGAAGAAAACTATAAAACAGTGCTGGAAACAATTGAAGAAGACAGAGAAAGTGGAAATATATCCCATATTTGTGGATGGGAACATGGACTGCTACCTGGGTGTAAAGCTTGGAGACAAATGCTTGCCTTTATTAAAAGGAAACTGTATAAAATCAGTTAAAGAGGAGTAATGAGTTTGTTAATAACTTGGAATAAAACAGAAGTGATATATATTCACAATCTATCTCTGCCCCACCCATAGCAATATTACAAGATGATATAAAAGCTAAGAAATATATGTCTACATGTAGATTCAGCTGTGTGTCTGGGTCACCATGACTGTTCTCCTGGGAGATGTCTTTCTCCTGGTCGTTGGGCTCCTGCCCTTTTCATCCCTACCGCGTTATCCTCTTCAGGAATGCAATTACAAGGATCCTTGTTGTATCTATCACTGATGTCAAAAGATCAATACTACTTCCAGCAATCTGTAGATTCATTTTCTGTCAAATTCTAGCATTCCTTTTGCAGGAATAGAAAAATCCGCCTTAGAATGTATGTGGAATCTCAAGGGTCCCCAAAATAGTCTCAAAAAGAACAAGACCATTGAGATCCCTGAAAGGACAGTGGATAGGTGTCCATCAGTGTGGCTGTGCTTCATCGGGCTGTACTGTATGTTTATAAATGCCTAAAACGGTCATTTCATAGTTTGTATTTTTTTCCAATTAAAAAATGCTTGCTATTCAGGCATGGTGGTTTGTAGGCCAGCTTATGTGGCAGAATGAAACTCTATATATTAAAAAAAAAAAGTGGCCCAAAACCTGAGTAGATAGGTCATGGGCTTAGGGGAAACCCAAATGCTGTTTTTCTGCTAAAGGAACACAGCAATAGAATGACTCCCAACAACATTCTTCTAGACTTACAGTTCAGTATCTTGCTCAGTCATCATCAGAGAAGCTTCCTCTTGGAGTCGATGGGAACAAATAGAGACTCACAACTGGACAGTGTGCAGAGTGTGAGAGACCTTGAAATACTCAGTCCTAAATGGAATGTTTTCATCAAACCCTCCCTTCTGGATTCTGGGAAGAGGAGACAGAAAGATTATAAAAGCCAGAGGAAGACACCATGGGAAAAGTGTCTTCCAGACACAACAGGACTGATAGACATATGACCTCACAGAAGCTGTGGCAGCATGCATAGGTTCTGCATGGGTCCAACCCAGAAGGAGTCCTGGTGCTGAGAAGGGGAAGTGGACAGGAGCTCCCATCCCTAACCAAGAAGCTATTTCCAAATGACAGCTACTTGCCAAGGAAAAATTAGTTTTCTCCACTGATGTCTCAATGAGTATATAGACACACTTGAGGGCAGGCCCATGCCCAGCAGTGGATAATCAACACAAAAGAAACTCAATGGAATTTTGGAGATGATTTTGTCTCAGATTGCTTTGTTTAGTTTTCTTTTTAAACCTTAATGGTCTTTTGCTTATATATTATGATTCCTGCTTTTGTGGTTTTTAAGGGTTTTGTTTGTGTGTATGTGTTTGTGTTTCTCATACTTTTTCTTTTCTTTTTTTATTCTGGTTTTGTTGTTAGCCTATCTGTTTTTTAAAGGTCTGACATTGGATGGGTTGAAAGAATCTGGGAGGATTTGAGGGAGAGGAAACCATAATCATAACACATTGTATGAAAAAAAATACTTCCAATTAGAAAATAAAAAGTAAGGGGCTGCCGGGCGGTGGTGGCGCACGCCTTTAATCCCAGCACTCGGGAGGCAGAGGCAGGCGGATCTCTGTGAGTTCGAGGCCAGCCTGGTCTACAGCGCGAGATCCAGGAAAGGCGCAAAGCTACACAGAGAAACCCTGTCTCGAAAAACCAAAAAAAAAAAAAAAAAAAAAAAAAAAGTAAGGGGCTGGAGAGATGGTCCAGTGGTTAAGAACACCTACAGGTCTTGCACAGAACCTGAGTTTGGTTCCTAGCACCCATATCAAGAGGCTCACAGCCACCTGTGACTCCAGTTTCAGGGGACCTGACAGCTTCTGCCTCTGTGAGTACTGCCTGCATATGGTACACATAGATTCACAGGGCACATACACATATATACCAAAGAAATCAATCTTGAAGCCAAAAAATAAAATCACTTTAGCACACACTGCGTAGGTCCACAAGCTCTGCCCAGGTTGTGCTTCTCTGGGTTGAAACCTAGGTGTCACAAAGATGCTGGCTTGCCATTCTTCTGTCAGAGACCCCAACACCAGACTCATTGAAAACATGGCTGGGCGGTGGTGGCGCACGCCATTAATCCCAGCACTCGGGAGGCAGAGCCAGGTGGATCTCTGTGAGTTTGAGGCCAGCCTGGTCTACAGAGTGAAACCCAGGACAGGCACTAAAACTACACAGAGAAACCCTGTCTTGAAAAAAAAAAAAAGTGTATTTGGGTGGGAGGAGGGAGAAGGTGGGATCTGTGGGTAGAAAATTTCTTAATAAAGAAAAATGAAAAGAAAAAAGAAAAAACATGGCACTTGTTGAAAACATTGCCCATCAGAGGTTAGTTCAAAAATAATCCTAGAGACACAAAAGATATGCATATTGTGGGTAAAGCCATCTGTTACTTCAAGGACAATATTTTCTTCAAAAACTATGAAATTGGGAAAAGCTGATAGAACATTGATTATGTCATTCTCTATATTTTTAGAGTCTGATAAACTCTGATTGTATAATTTGAAAAGCCAGGGAGAAAAGAAATGTACACACCAGGGAATCACTAATGTCCCAGTTCATGTAAGACTGTAAGCTGTAAGGTGAAATAAACTCTTTCCTTCCCAAGTTGCTTGTGATCATCATGTTTATTATATCAATAGAAACCTAATTAGGACAGCAAACATGTATGTGTGTGCACCGTGTGCATGCTGGTGCCCTCGGAGGTCAGAAGAGACTGTCAGATCCCTCACAACTAAAGTTAGGGATGATTTTGAGCCACCATGTGGGTGCTGGGAACCTAACTTAGGTCCTCTGCAGGAGCAACAAGTGCTCTTAAATTCTAAGCTATCTCTCCAACCCCGTTTTCTGAAATTTTAAGCTGGTATTTAATAAGCAATAATTTCTAACCTGTCAGAAAAACATCATTGCTTTTGACATTGAATTAAAACATTTTTGCAGTAATAGAACAAAACTCATAAAAAGCCAAGTAGAACTTGTGAAAATTAAAAATATCCATGGATGAGGTTTTTTATTTTTAATGTCAGTAAAATAGGAATAGGAAAATATTAAAAAAGAGGTGGAAGACTATTTGAAGAGAAATTTTCTGTTATGGGATAATCTTTTTGTACAATGTGAAAATGTGTCTGTGAAGATGTCATCCACCTAAAACACCTTCTGATTGGTTTAATAAAGAGCTGAATGGCAACAGCTAGGCAGGAGAAGATAGGCAGGAAAAGATAGGCAGGACTTCCGGGAAGCAATAGGAACTCTGGGAAGAATCTGAGAGGTGGGAGATTCGCCAGCAAGACTCAGAGGAAATCAGATATAAAGTACTGATGAGTGGTAATGAACCACATAGCAGAAAGTAGATTAATATAAATGGGTTAATTTGTTATAAGAGCTAATTGGGAACAAGCCTAAGCTGAGGCCAAGCTTTCATACTCAATCAGAAGTCTCTGTATCATTATTTGGGAGCTGGCGGTTCAAAGAAAGACCTGCTACAATTTTCTGTGAATTCTCTAGAATTGTTAAAAGATACTATTCCACAGCTTCAGAACTCCCAGTGGGCCCATGCAGGACACGTGAAATGCATACCTAATGCATCATGGAGAACCACAGACAAAATCTTACAGTCTTTTAGTATGCCAGTTGATTGACTGTGAAGCTGAGAAGAACACTTACATACACTTGTTGGTAGGATTCAGTTACATTGGAGTTATTTTGCTTTTAGAATTTCTTTTCTAGCTTATTCTCAGCCTGGCCTTCTTTATTTCATTTTTGTCTTTTCTTTCTAATTTTCACTTTTTGTTATTATTGAGTTTTGTTCTGGTTTTTTTTTTTTTGAGACTGGGTCTTGTGTGTGTTGTCATGGAACTCGCTTTGCAGCAAGGCTGAACTTGAACTCATTCATGGTCCTGGGTGCTAAATCACAGTCTTTCATCACTGTGCCCAACTATGTTTTCTTTTTCCCATTGCTTGAGGTAGGACCTCACCATGTAGGGCTGGCTAGCCTAGAACTCACTGTGTAGACCAGGCTGACCTGGAACTCACAGAGATCTGCCTGCTTCTGACTCCTAAATGCTGGGATTAATGTCATGCACTACCATGCCAGGTCACGTTTTCTTGATATATGATTCTCTCTGCAGGACATTTCAGAATATGGTAGATTCCTTCATCAAAGTCAGTAAGCCTAGCCTCTCATATTTAAGCATGAGGGTTCTTGAATCTATGCGCCTCAAAACAGAAATAAGTTCACCTAATAGTCTGGAACATAGACAGCACACATTTGGGTATTATATAAGTTGACTTTGTCCACTCTATAGTCATCAATATATTTCCTGTGACTTTTAAGTTTACTTTCTTAAGTTTCTTTAAGTTTATTTTCTTTTATGTATGTGGTCTAGTGGATTTTTGAAATTTATTATTATTATTATTATTATTATTATTATTATTATTATTATATGTGTATGCATGATGTAGATGGGCACATGTATCACAGTGGAGGTCAGAGGACAACTCTGTGTAGTCAGCTCTCTCTTTCTACCTTTTGCAGGATCTGGATACTGACTCAGGTCACCAGGCTTGTGTGACAAGTCCCTTTACCCGATAAGTCATCTGGCCAGCCCCTAAGTTGATCTTTTTATAAACTCTCTGTAATGCTGAAGATGGATGTGTTCTGTTACTCAAAGTAGGCAGTCCCACTCTTGGTGGGAGAAGTAGATCTGTCCTTCAAAATTAGCTGTGGAGTCCATGGACAGCTTTGTATTTGGACGTGCCACCCGTCAGTCAATCTGATCAGCACATTTCACAGTGTAAAATTGTGCTAATAGATTGTCTTGTGTGTGTGTGTGTATAGGATCCAAATGAAGACACAGAATGGAATGAAATTTTAAGAGATTTTGGCATTCTTCCTCCAAAAGAAGAACCAAAAGATGAAATTGAGGAGATGGTGTTACGCCTGCAGAAGGAGGCAATGGGTACAGTGTGCCTTTGGTGGGCTGCATGAAGGGGACATACAATGAAGGTGGTAAAATATACTTCGTGGACACAGGAGAGGGAATTAGAGATCGTTTATATCAACTCTGTCCGTCCACTCAAAATTAGGAGATCACTACCTAAAATGGCTGATTTGTGTGTTGAAAGGCACATGCCAGTTAGTAAAAGTGCTGAATTATGCTCATAAGACCTAGTGAGGTTTCTTCTACCATATCCCTCTACTTTGAGATTGCTTTCTCTTTTGTTCATTCAATATACGATCTTATTCATTAATATTCCCATGTACTTGGGGGAAACCTAAATTTATGGGGTCTAATTGATTTCCTCATCTGTGCTCATCAGTATTCTGCCAGTTCTATGAACTTTGAGGGAATCAAAAAGGCTAGTATTACAATTTCTGTAACATATAATCATGTTTTAGTAGGTTGCTACAGGTTTGTTAAAGATGTTGTTGGCCTCTATTACCCAAGCTGCTAGGGTTGTGGGGTTTGGTTTTTTTGTTTGTTTGCTTTGATTTCTAGAAGTAGGTTATGAAGTAAAAATAACGTTTGGACCATTGGATGACCTGAAGTTTCTGTTTTAGTTAAACCGTATGAGAAGATGACCCTTGCACAGTTGGATGAAGCTGAGGACGAGTTTGATGAGGAAGATATAAAAGCCATTGAGATATACAGGTACAACAGTATTGTGTTGCCGTGGGAGTGCTACATGAGAAATGGGATTGCTAAATCTCCTTAAGAAACTGTTTTATGCCGTAACTTGATTTTCTCTTGCTGCGTGCAAGATTCTGCCTTTGTCTCTTGACAGTTTGACCCTGTGGTGTCACAACGTGGGTATCTTTGGGTCTGTCCTCCTTGAAGTGTGTCTGATACGTTGGATTTTACACTTGTGTCTTTAATCATGTGTGGGAAGCTGTGGGCCATTAATTCTGAAAGCGTTCTTTTTCCTTGTGTCTGCTCCTTTGGGGCTCCTGAAATATTATGTTGATCTGCTGGACAGTGTCTCGCAGGCCCTTTAGGCTGTGTTTACTTTCTTCATTTTTTTTTTAAATTTGTGCTTCTGGGTTAATAATAGCAATAATTCTACCTTTTGATTTTCTGATTCTTTTGGCTGCTTGAAATTCGGTATGTTTTTCACTTTAGTACATTTTCTTTTCAGTTCCCCTGGAGTGTTTCACTTGTAATATGAAGTGTGCAGGATTTTTTTCTCATGGGCTCAGACATTTATACATTTGGTCTCCATTTGGTGATGCTGTTTGGAAAAGTAGTGGAACCTTGGTGTGTGTGTGGGGGGGGGGCACTACATTACTTGTGGGGGTGGGCTTTAGGAGTTCATAGCCTTGCCCTGTCTCCAGTTTGCTCTCTCTGCCTTTGTGTTTGTGGTTGAGGATGTGTTCTCTCCACTTCCTGCTCTGGCCACCATGCCTGTGTGCTGCCGCACTTCCCCACTCTTGGAGTCTTATCCCTCTGGAACCACAGGCCCAAATAAACTTTCCTTTGATGGGTGCCTTGGGCATGGCAGCTACTATAACTACCAAATAGACGAACTTGGAAAATATCATAAGAGAAAGAAAGAAGTCAGAAAAGGCCGTATAAGTAGAAAGGAAATTACTATATAATGGATCTTGGAATGAACAAGCAGGAGGTAGTTACAAATGGATACAGGACTTACTTGTGGCAATCAAAAAGTTACCTGGAGCTGGAGAGGTGGCTCAGTGGTTAAGAACACTGGCTGATCTTCCAGAGGACCTGTTTTCCCAGTAACCACATGGAGGCTCACAACCCTTTCCAGTTTCAGGGGATGTGACCACTTCTGTTCTCTGTGAGTACCAGGCATGCAAGCGGTACGTGGATATACATGTAGAAAGAAGATCCATACACATAAATAAAATAAAAATGTTTTGAATTGTATCATGGTGATGGTCCCTTAACTTTTTGATCCATCTCCTACAGCTCCCTGAGCTGCTCTTTCCCAGGCAGTGACTGTGGCCTGGGTACTTTAGGGCTACATCACCTTAGAATCCTGTACCTCCTCCCATGTGCGCCGGGGATCTGTGTGGAAGACTGCACAGGACACTCTAGGATTGAGTACCAGAGATGTATACATCACTTTACCTCTCTCATTGGTTGCCATCTACTCTCACAAGGAAGCTTGCAAGTGTGGTCTTCCTGCAAGGCACCAAAGAGGAATCTATAATGATAATTAGGTTCTGGCAGAGCCTCAGGGTAAGATAAAGAAGTGAAAAATACATTATTCACAGAATTAGAGACAAAAGGGGTAGGCATTGGTAGGTAACCAGCTATGAAATAACAAATGAATTAGACTCAGAGGCTCCTGTAGCTAAAAGGAAGAAGGAAAGTCTAAATGTGGCCATGAACGTATCTTTAGTATATTTCTGTGGCAAATACACTAAACTGTCTTCCTTGACACACGTTCCTCTTTCTCTTGATGCGTGGTACAGCCGCACAGAAGCTAGAAGCGAAAACTGTGTTTCTCAGACTCAGTTGCAGCAAGGATACCAAATGTGTTTCAGGTTCTGCTAATGTTCACAGGATATTTGGGTTCAGAGCTAAGTAAAATGGAGAAAGCAGAGGTGAAAAAAAAAGCCTAAAGCATCTGTTTAAGTGGTCTGAACCTAGAATGTGCGTCATTAATTCTGGAGCCTTTGTTCTGGCAGCAGATTCTCATCCTCAGATTGTTGCTAGGGAGACTGGTTCCTAGTGCCAGAGGCTGTTAGTGTGCCTCTCCGAGTCTCAGAGTAATGTGATACTTGGGCCAACAACTGGAATCCAGATTCCCCAGTTTCTGGATGGCGGCAAAGAAAGCCTTGGCAGACCAGTTTTGCTGTGTTGTTCTGGGAGTCATTCCTGGTAGCCCAGCCTGGAGCCTGCACCTTCTGCCTTTTCGGCCAGTTTGCAAAGCGCTTAATTTCCCAGACTAAGTCCCTTTTTGCCAAAAATAGCTAGAGGGCTTTCTGTCCCTATACATGAATCACAATTTGTTTGATTGCTAGGTGAAAAATGCAGGCCACTGAACAGTGTCTTCCTGCCGGCCAGATTAACCCCTGTGCTAACCTTTCCAGTGAAATAGGGAGGGAAAGAAATAGGGTGGAAAGAGAGAAGCTGGTAGTTGTACTACTAAGAAGGTACCTAGTAGTAGACCTAGCCCCGCATTATTGTTCTCTTTGGATTTCATTGTGTTTGCCTTCACGGTTACGTAAAGTGAGTGTTCATCTGGCATGCTTCTGACACATGAAACGAGGCCAGTGTGTTCTGAAGTGTGCGCAGGAGTTTTTGTTTGCTTTGATGCGAGCATGATCAGGAGGTGGCTGCCACTGAACGGCCACCATTCTCAAGAGGAGGGCGTGCACCGTGGCACACGGGCCCACAGGGGAAACATCCGAACAGGTCAGGATCGAAAGCAGCAAGGGGAGAATCTCCGACACGACCTGTGTTGTGCTTTCTGTGGGAAAGAACACACAAGGCAGGGTAAGCAGGCTTGTGATTGGCTAGTGTGAATCATTTTGGTGGGCTCTGGGTTAGGTCTGTTGTTAGTTATCTGGCACCAGGTTCTGGGATGGCTAGAGCAGGGAGCCCTGAAAGAAAAAAGACAAAACAACAACCACAGGGAAAAAAAAAAAAGGCAATTGAAACCAGGCATGGCGGTGCATGCCCAAAGTCCCAGACACTTGGGAGCTGAGGTGAGAGGACTGTCTGAGCCCAGGAGTGTGAGACCAGTCCTTGCCTCGAAAAATAAGAGAAAATTTTAAAAAAGGACCAAGGATGTGCTTGCAGAGTTGGCCAGCTTGCATTTGAAGAATGTGCTGTCTGGCAAGTGTTTGTTCTTTCTCAGAACCAGCTAGTTCTGAAATGAGTATTCCCTAAAGGATTAGCAAAGTTCTAGACACCAGAAGATCAAGAATGCAGGAAATGAGGGCCGCCAAGATGGCTCAGTGGATGGAGGTGCTTGCTGCCAAGCGCCATGATCTGGATTTGTTCCCTGGAACCCACCTGCTGGAAGGAGAGAACCAATTCCTACAAGATGTTCTCTGATGTCCACACATGTGCAATGGTATGCACAGGTATGCACATATACCTGTGTGCACATGTATACACACACACACACACACACACACACACACACAGGAGAGAGAGAGAGAGAGAGAGAGAGAGAGAGAGAGAGAGAGAGAGAGAGAGAGAGAGAGAGAATAAATACATAAAAAATAAAGAATATAACTCTTACCTAACATTTTTGTTTCAATTAGAGAAAAGCGGTTACAGGAATGGAAAGCACTTACGAAGAAACAAAAATTTGGGGAATTGAGAGAAATTTCTGGAAATCAGTATGTGAATGAAGTTACAAATGCAGAAAAAGATTTGTGGGTTGTAATTCATCTATACAGATCAAGGTAATTACCACAGTACTTCAGAATGTGGGTGTCATGATGCTTTAAAAACACTCCTAGCTTTAGGGTCTATGATGCCTCCGATGAGGAATATTTAAGAGAAAGAAATGTGTATTATACATGAATACATTATAGAATTTTTATCTTTAGGGATTAAATTAAGAATGCTAAATATTTTCATTTCTAATCTGAAGAATGTCACATTTGTTAGAAAAGTGATCACCCTTTGGTGATTAAACCTCCTATGTCTCCCGCACCTCACACGCCACTGAGCTGACCTCAGACTCAGCCAAGGATGGCCTTGAACTCCTGATCCTCCTTCCACCCCCAAATTCTGAGATTCATGTGTACCTCATATTTGTTTTATGATGTGCTGGGAATCAAACCCAGGACTTCATGCATGTTAGGCAAGCACTCGACCAGCTGATCTCCATTCCCAGGATCTGCAGGCTTATGAATGTTGCAACTGTGAGCTTTCTAAATCACGTAAATTTCTAGAGTTTCCTGGCCCCTTGAGTTTCCTTAGCCTCCTGGGTCTTAGGGTTCTCCTGATTCCTTCCGAGGGAAAGGTTTCAACCCTGAGGAAATAACTGCACAGAAAGTTCTCATTCTTGGTGTTGGTATCAGAAAAGAAAAAAACAGTTTCTTAGGTTGGAAAAGTAGGCAGGCTTGAGTGAGGTATTTTAGATGGACTGTACAATGTGAACAAAATTACAGAGGCCTGAAGCATCACAATGCTTCCAGAGTATGGAATATCGGATCTGCCTCAGTCATACAGTGTGATGCAGTGTCAGGCAGGCTACCACCCTGGACAGGAAAGCAGCGTCCACATCATGAAGACCTTCTGAAACTACATTAAGGAGTTCAGATTTTATGCCAGTGAGGAGGAGCCACAGGAGGTTCTTGAGCTTGGGCAATATGTGCAATTTCAGAGTTATATGATGTCACCTCCATGAGGGTTATATGATGTCACCTGCGTGAGGGTTATATGATGTCACCTGCATGAGGGCTATATGATGTCACCTGCATGAGGGTTATATGATGTCACCTCCATGAGGGTTATATGATGCCACCTCCATGAGGGTTATATGATGCCACCTCCATGAGGGTTATATGATGCCACCTCCATGAGGGTTATATGATGCCACCTCCATGAGGGTTATATGATGTCACCTCCATGAGGGTTATATGATGCCACCTCCATGAGGGTTATATGATGTCACCTCCATGAGGGTTATATGATGCCACCTCCATGAGGGTTATATGATGCCACCTCCATGAGGGTTATATGATGCCACCTCCATGAGGGTTATATGATGTCACCTCCATGAGGGTTATATGATGTCACCTCCATGAGGGCTATATGATGCCACCTCCATGAGGGTTATATGATGCTACTTCCAAGAGATTTATATGATGCTACTTCCATGCAGTGTTCCCTTTGTAAGTAGGGCCAAGGATGAATATGGGTAACAAATCTGGAAACAGATTTAGGGTAGCAGTGTAGCTCAGATAAGGAGCGAGTGAAGCGATGGGCAAGGAGGGAGATAGAGAGCAGCTAAACAAGGAGGTGGAGTTGTTGTGACTTCATTACTGAGCAGACATCGTAGAGAGATTTTCAGTCGAGCCAATTTAAGAAATATCAAAAAAAGATCAGGTTTTTGCTTGTTTGTTTGTTTTTCCTTTGGGGCATGGGGTTGAGTTAGGAAGGGAAGTGAAATCTATTAGCTGCTAGAAGAAACAATTACTTTTAACATGGATCCAAAAGAGGGAATTCAGAAAGGTCAAGAGGAAGTTAACAGAACATGATATCACGGAAAGCAAAGGAAAGCTTCCCAAGAACAGAGGTGACCGAAACGCAAGAGGGTGGTTTTTGTTGTTGTTGTTTTTGTCTTGTCTTGTTTTTGTTTTTCAAGACAGGGTTTCTCCATGTAGTTTTGGAGCCTGTCCTGGAGCTCGCTCTGTAGACCAGGCTGGCCTCGAACTTATAGAGATCCACCTGACTCTGCCTCCCAAGTGCTGGGATTAAAGGCGTGCATCACCGCCGCCCGGCTGTTGTTGTTTGAGACGCACACGTCCTTTTTCATCTTAGTTGTGACTTCAAGGAAAGAAGATGGTTATTAAAAAGGAATTCAAAGTTATGAGATATTCTTTTAAAAAAACAAGCTAAGATTTATGAGCTTTAATATGTTTATGTGAAGTGGCGACATTCTTTGGAGAAGGGAAAGTGAGAACACAGGAGAGAGAAGCAGACTGAAACCAAGGAGAGTGGAAGAAAGTGGAGGTGTGTGGGGGTAGGGTGGCAGAGAGTCAGCCTGAACTCGCTGGCTAAAGCTCAGAGTGGTAGACTAGGAGGAAGGGATGGACTGAAGAGTGTGTGGGGTGGGAGTTCTGTGATGGATGACGCAGGAAGAATTGGAAGTTTGGGATCCTGCTTTCAATCAGTTTTATATCTTAGATGAGAAATAATTTCGGGTACTGTGACCCAGGATGTGGAAGACCGTGGGTGAAATTTGTTAGGATCAAGAAAGCCAGAGAAGTCTGAGATGAAGCACTTTGGATGTGAGCACCTGGGAAATTAAGCCAAGTAGTGAGTTGGATCCCTTTATTTCAGCTCCGGACTGCCCCGGATTCCCCAGACATGCCTGGTTTTTGTTTGTGTTCCTGTGTTCTTCTACCTAGGATGCTAAGTGACTAAACTAATGCTAAGTAGAATGTAGTTTACCTAAATTATGATGCAGATTCCCAGGGTACCAGTCATCATTCCTAGGGTATGATCTGCTTTTAGATAAAAAGTAGAGATCTACTTTTGCAATAGATAGGTTTCACTTGTTTTACCAGACTCAGAGGAGCAATCTGCATTTGAAACACACCATGTGCATTCTCTCTTTTAGCATCCCCATGTGCTTATTGGTTAACCAGCATCTTAGCCTCCTGGCAAGAAAGTTCCCCGAAACGAAATTCCTTAAAGCCATCGTGAATAGCTGCATTGAACACTACCATGACAACTGTTTACCAACAATTTTTGTTTATAAAAATGGTCAGATAGAAGGCAAATTCATTGGAGTTATAGAATGTGGAGGGATAAATCTCAAGCTAGAAGGTAATGATGTTATTTTTTTAATGTTTATGAAAGTAACAAGTAAAAAGTTCTCCAAATGAACAAGTATGAAAGTTTTTCTTTGAAACAAAGTTTTTCCCTCAGTTTTCAACTTTTTAGCATTTTTAAAAATAATTTTAGCATGTATAAGTGTTTCCCTAAGTCTCTCTCTGTCTGTCTGTCTCTCTCTGTCTCTGTCTCTGTCTCTCTCTGCGTGTGTGTGTGTGTGTGTGTTTGTGTGTGTGTATGTGTGTGTGTGTGTCCCTGTGCCAATGTGCATGTCTGGTACTCATGGAAGCCAGAAACAGGTATTGCGTTCCCTGGAACTGGAGTTACAGGCACTCATGATCTGCCATGTGGGTGCTGGGATCCATCTCTCCAGCTATTTCTCCAGCCCCCATTCAGTTCCCTTTTAAAATCCCTCCAGATCAGCTTTCCTGTTGTTGTGCTTAGATATATCAAACCACCTTTAGGATATGATTAGAATATCAAAACATCTTTTTGCTTAAAATTCGTAATGGTGTCTGTCTAAAATAACTTAGAAATGTAAATCATCTGGTTTAGAATCCAGTCTACCTCCACACCTGTTTCTCAGTCCTGAGTAGTAGTGTCTGCCTTAGTTGGGCTGGGCTTAGTCCCTGAAGACCCCAGACAGAGCTTTGCTCTCACACTTTCTCATGAAGTCTCTACTTTCACCTAAATTCCTCACCTTTATCCTCCCAGTCCAAACCCTGTTCCTAAGGTTTTCCTCCTTTCTGTTTATCCTACCATGTGTGCCCAGACTAATTAAACCTCTTCCTTCTCTCTGTGGGCTTTTGTCCTGTGTGTTTGCTGTATCAGCAATCCAGATGTTGCCCTGGGTTTGCCGATTGATAATCCCCTATGCGTCTTCATCTCTGGAACAGGTGTGGGACAGCCTTCTGTTGTTTCCTTTTTGACAGTACACAGCACAGGACTTTATATTTTTACCCTTTTTAATGATTTTTACCTCCTAAAGTTATCCCTTTGACTTTTTCATGCCTGGATACTGTTTTAACCTGTTTTATGAAGCTTAGAATCTTGATCATCATCATGTTAAATTACACCACTCAGTGACATTGACATTGACATTGCTATGTTTCTGTACCTGTCATCCAGATCCACAACTCTTACCATCTTGTATAGCAAAACTCTGGACCCATTAAACAGTAACCTTTCACTCTACCTGCTCTCCCATCCTTCATGAAACCGATGACTTCAGACACACTATGTAGGTAGGATAGCACTGGTTTTTCTTTTTTCTCTTGTACCTGATATCACTCAACATAATATTGTCAAGATCCATACTTTCAGAAAGTGTCAGGGTTTCTTCTTTTTTTTTTTTAAAGTCTGAACAAGGTCCCAGTGTCTACAAAGGCCACATTGCAGGTATATGTCCTTCTTTGATGGACACTTACAATGCTTTTACCTTTTGATGCTACGAATAATAATATTAAAACATGGATGTACAAATCATCTGTTCAATAATTTTGGAAATATACCCAGAATTATTTTGCTAGGTAATATTGTTATTCTATATTTATATTTTGAGGGACTAGGTCATTTTCTTATACTTTAGCCATAATGTATATGTGAATATACATATATGTATTTTAGTGCATATACACATACACACACATAGAAATGTAAGGAATGATTGTATTATAAATTTGAAATTATTCAACATATAGCAGTATAGCATCCTGAAACTTGTTTTAAGCTCAACAATAATTTTCCAAACTTCTTCTTTTTATATCTGATTTAATAACTTTAAATCTTATCTTTCTCTCATTAACTATACCTTAATTTATGTGTTTGCAACTTCTTTTCTAACAGAATGTGAGCTGATTGCAGTTTTCCAATGACAATTCTTCTGTCATCCTTGTGCTCATCTGTGAAAAATCTCTCTTTTGGTTTTGCATTTTTAAGTCCACTGGGAAGGTATCTGTGGTGGTGGTGTCAACTTGATAAAAGTTATAATCAACTGAGAGGTGGACTTTGGGCATGTCTATGAGGGAATTACCTTTATTATGTTAATTAAGGTGGGAAGACCCATCTTCCTAGGCAGAGGATGCTGGAGTGTATAAGAGAAGAGAAAGCCAGCTGAGCATGCATGCCTGTATTCACTGCTCTCCCCTGACTGCAGACATAATGGACTATAACTTGGAACTGTGAGCTAGATGGACCCTTTCTCCCTTAAGTTTCTTTTGTTGGAGTGTTTTGTCATAGCAATAGGAAAAGAAACCAAGGCTCTACCAACGATGCCATCGATGTCTCCTCCTATCAGCCCTGTATGAGAGTTCTCATTTACCCACATCTCTATCAGGTCTTAGAATTGTTATGCTGGTGTGGTTTTGTCAAGCTGACAGATATACAATAATATCTTTTTCGTTTTGGCAATATTGGGAATTGAACCCAGGGCAGGGCCTTGTGCAAGTGCTCTACCCCTGAGCTATAATGACAGCACTACAAAATATCCTGCCACTGTTTAAATTTGGAATGCTAGTGGGGATAGGCATTCTTTAGTAGATGTTGGTCATTGGGTTTCTTCTCTTTGCTTTGTTCATGTTTCAGCGTGTTCTTTCATTGAATTACAGGAGTTTGTGGTGTTCTGTCCACTGCTTCTATGGCATCACACACAGGTTCTTGGTAGCTTACTCCTTCAAATCTCTTTTCTCTGGGTATATGCATTTTTCTGGGGTATGTGTGATTGAGCCCAAGCTTTCCACCACTGAGCTATACTTCTAGGCCAACACTGCTTCTTTCTTTTTTCTTGATACAGAGTCTGTCTTCAGACTCTTAGGCCAAGCAACCTTCCTTTCACCTCTCAAGTAGCTGAGGCTCAGGGTATGCATACCAGGGTCTAGCTTCATTTTAATTCTCAGGCAAAAATTGTATTAGCAGAGTTAAACTTATTAATCTTTTAAAATTATACTTACCGTGCTTCCCCTTAAAAACCATTATATATTTTTCAAGATGAAAAGGATATCCCCCTATATTTTCTTTTAATAGTTTTATTTTTATTTTTTCTTAGGTCTTAAATAACATTGTAGCGAAGTATTACAAAGAATGGATCTATTTTCTTTTCTGTTGCCCCAGTGCCATTTACTGAAACTTCATTTCCCACTCTTTTTAAATTTACTTTTATGTATAATATGAACTTTTACAATCTTAATCATTTTTCTCAACTTATTCTACACATTTCTTTTTGAGATAGGATCTTTTTACCCTCCTGCTTTGGCATCCCTGGCAGCAGAAGTATGGATAGGTGCTTCCCAGCCTTGAAGTTTCCTTCCTTTCTGAGATTAGATAGACAGTCATGCTTCTTCTGTCTTTGGTCTATAATAAATGCTGCTACCATGAAAACTGTTGTTGGTTGTTTTTGCTCTCTTGGGGGACCTGCCACCCACCTCCCAAATAAATTACACATGGAGGCTTATTCTTCACTATAAATGCCTGGCCTTAGCTTGGCTTGTTTCTTATCCCGTATACTTTTTGCCTCCGGGCATGCCATAATGAACATGGTGTGTGTGTGTGTGTGTGTGTGTGTGTGTGTGTGTGTGTGTGTGTGTGTACTGTCATGCCATAGTGTGCATGTGGTCAGAGGATAACTTTTAGAAATGAATTCCTTCCCTTCGCCATGTGGGTCTCAGGGATGAACCTCAGGTTGTCTGTCAGACTTGGTGACCTTTACCCCGTGAGCCCTCTCATCAGCCTCAATTTCCACACTAATTCTGTCAAAGTCTACTTCTGTTTCATGTAGATGAGAGATTCATCTCCATTTTCCCGAGGTTTTTATCCAGTTTAATGATAGGTCTTTGTCTATTGTAGAACTTGAATGGAAACTATCAGAAGTTGGCGCAATACAGACTGACTTGGAAGAAAACCCCAAAAAATGCATTGCAGATATGATGGTGTCTTCAATTAGAAATGTTTCCATTTACGACAGCGACAGCTCCAACAGTGATAATGATGCCAAATAGAACTAGTTAATAAATAGTTTTAAAGTATGTATAAAATGCTTTATTTCCTATTGACTTTATAATCAGATAAAAATGTATGGACCTTATTTTCATCTTTATGTAAGAACTATAGCCTACATGGCAACTGAAAATCTTCCAGGTATTTTAAGATTATTGTCTCTTGCAAATATGAATTTTTGCTCCTTAATATTTTTCTGTGACTTATTTTTTTCTGACTACTGTTGGACAACACCAACAAATACTTTAAGTCTTCTGTGTTCCCTAATCACTTCCAAAAAGACCCATGAGAGGAAATACATATAGCTTTATAAGTTAAATTAATACATTTTGTATGTCTGCACCCATGTCTGTATAGGTGGCCAAGCCTGTGAGTGTGCATGTGGAGGTCAGAGGTCGACTTTGGGTGCCTTCCTTAACTGCTCTCTGCCTTAAGTTCTGAGATAGGGCCTCTCATGACAAAGCGGGCCTGGCTGAGCAAGGAGTGCGCTCCCCTGTGCCATCCTTAGGTCCTTGCACTGTGCTCCCCGATGCTGCCTGACAGGCACACAGTGCCAAACCTGGCTTTGAGGTGGGTGCCGAGGACCCGGACCAAGGCTCGTGTTTGCAGTTCACCAGGGGAGCTGTCTCTACAGACTCTGAGTTGATACATCGTAGAGTCGATTTTCTGGGAAAATCTTATCAAAGAAATGGCTACCTAGTTATGTCCATTTAATCCCTGAACGCCTCATGAAATGGATGGATTAATTCTGGTTCAGGACACAACAGTGGTGGGCCGAAGGGAAGAGCCACATTATCCTGAAGTCACAATGCCGTTTTTGTTTTTTGTGCTCTCTAATGCATGTAAACATGAGCATTAGCTTTCCTTCCAGTGAAACCAAGTGAAAACCTCTCCACAATGTAGTCCTCTCCTTTGGTCTTAAATTTTATTTATTTATTTATTTATTTATTTATTTATTTTGCTTTTTTGAGACAGGGTTTCTCTGTGTAGCTTTTGGAACCTGTCCTGGAACTCATTTTGTAGACCAGGCTGGCCTCCAACTCACAGAGATTCACCTGTCTCTGCCTCCCGAGTGCTGGGATTAAAGGCGTGCACTACCACTGCCTGGCAAATTTTATTTTTATGTGTATGGGTGTTTTGTCTGCATGTTACTCTGCGCATCACCTGTGCCTGGTGCTCAAAGAAGCCAGAAAATGCACTAAATCCCCTGGAACTGGACTTATAGACACTTGTGAGCTGCCATGATGGTGCTGAGACTTGAACCCAGGTCCTCTGAGAGAGCAGCCAGTGCTCTTAACCGCTGAACCATTCCTCTAGCCCCTATTTCTTTTTTTTAAAAGTAGCTTTCCACTTCTTTTTAATGTTAAAATGAGTTAAAATAAAAGGTAAACCTTCCCTTAACTCTGATCCATCCAGTAATAAGGGTTTATCCACCAACACAGTTCTGAAGACTAACATTTGTAAAAACTGTACAACTGTAGTATGTTAGAACAGGATGGTTGTGTGTGATTCCAGCCTCACCCTTCCACAAGGTATATACACACATTCTTCTAGCAGAGGCTCATGCTTATAAGTCTCTACTATTTCATAAATACAGTTGTTGTTTCAGCAGGATATAAGGTATTTGTCAGTCTGTGAGAAAACTGATATGTAATATTCATTATATTGAACATATTGATAGGGCAGAAACTTGACAGTTTTTAATTGTCCAATACGCAATAATTGTGACTTATGAAAGTCAACACTTTTTATTCCATCTAGTATTTTGAACTGTCCTTGACAACTGTGTGCTATTGAAATCCCCTCCTCTACTGACAGTGTCTTAATCAAGTTTCCTCCTAGTGTTATGGGTATTTCCAGGAAACTTGTTAGAAGTGCATGATCTCTGGCCCTATCCAAACTAACTGGGTTGAATTTTCACTTTAATGAGATGCCTCGGTGATTGGCATGTGCATTAAAATTCTAGGAGCAATATGTAGCAAATCCCTTAAAGCTTGAGTATGTTAACCTCTCCCGACACTGGGTTATTAAATCTACCCGAGTTGAAACTCCAGTTTCAGTTCCAAGTCAAAACTAAATTCAAGGAACTCTGAAGATGGAAGATGCTGCTTTAAGACAGGGTGTAGCCATGTAGCTAAGGCTGGTCTCAAACAGGGTTGTGTTAGCCTGTTCTTTTTCTTCCCGTCCTTGGTCCATCTCCATGGTAGTAGGAATTCGGAAAAAAGGAATACATTTATATTGCCTGAAATCCATATTGTATCCAAGTACTTGCTATTTAATGAGGTATGCTGAGTTCTCCTAGAAACTGGGGTAGCCTTCCATGGCACAGACCCATGCTCAACATGGACACAGATCAGGTTTAATGTCCGCCCCTTTGCCCCCACAGAAGTATACCTAGTCTTCTTATTGTTATAATTTCCTTTCCCTGTATGTGTCAAAATGGTTCAAGCCCAGACAGTACTTCCATCCAGTCAAATCACAAGAAATATCACACCTTGACCATATCAAATGGTGGGGATGTGTGCTTTGATTTAGTTCAACCCACTTCTGGCCCGCAGTTTCTTTCTTCCTGTGTTGGTAAGTATTGGGTGATATTGATAAATCTGCCTATGGATGAGATTACTGTTGCTTTTTGTTTTCTTATTCTTTGTCTCTCTGGGAGCCTGCCACCCAACTCCCAAATAAATCACACACTGAGGCTTATTCTTAATTATAAATGCCCAGCCTTAGCTTGGCTTGTTTCTAGCCAGCTTTCCTTAACTTAAATTTTCCCATTTTATCTTTCTCTATTCCTGTATACCTTTCTTTGCTTCTTACTCTGTGACTTGCTGTGTAGCTGGGTGGCTCTTGCTACTTCCTTCCTCTCCCAGATTTCTCCTTCTATTTATTCTCTCTGCCTGCCAGCCCCGCCTATCCTTTCTCCTGCCTTGCTATTGGCCGTTCAGTTCTTTATTAGATCATTGGGTGTTTTAGACAGTCATAGTAACACAGCTTCACAGTTAAACAAATGCAACATAAACAAAAGTAACACACCTTAAAATAATATCCTACAACAGATTACAGTCTCCTTTTAGGCTCTTAAAATTTAGAGACACCTTCAATTTGATGCTATTGAAGCCTTAGTCACTTAACATGGAATGAAAAGAGGAGGAAAGAAAAAGGCAGCACTCACTAGGAACTCAAGGAGATATGGCTTCAGGGATAGACAGGAAGAAGAAGACAAGTTTCAGGGCAGCCTGGGCTACATACATTATTGAGACTTGTCTTAAAAAGAGCCAATAGCTGGAAATATAATCGAGGGGTAGAGTGCTTTGATCCTTAGTGCAAACACACACACACACACACACACACACACACACACACACACACACACACACAAGAGGAAGATGAAGAGGAGACAGCCACAGCAGCAACAGGGTTCCAATGACTATTTCCAAGTATTCCTCTTCTTAAGTGCTGTGCTTGCATGTGAAGTTAGAGATGGCCACTGAAAATCCACTTTTCACAACTTTTGACCATGGCCAAAGGAGGTTTCTGGCATCAAACATTAGTAGTTATTTAGAAGATGAGATTCCTGATGCTCTCTGATGCCTGCTTTAGATTTCACTTAGCATCGTATACTGGGGGTAACATCCTCTATTGCAGTGTTACACATGTTATACAGGTGGTAGCGTTCTCAGTCACTGTTACATATCTTCACAGACAGTAAGTAACTCATCTATTTCAGCGTTGACTACTCTTGCACAGGTGCTAGCTTTATCTATTTATGGTGACAGGTTTATTTCTTATATAGGTGGTAAGTTTATTACAGTCTCATGTTCTTAGACAAATAATTCTATAATAGTGCTCCACATTCTTCTGGATTCTCAAATAGCAGTAGGACAACAGCACTAGTCACATGATCTTCCCCAATCAATTCCAACTTATCCCTCCTTTATACTTTTATATAAATTTCTAGAGCTACTTCTTGACATTCTACCTCCAATTATAGTTGGGGGATATAAAAATCTCTCTGGCATCTCTAATTTCATTCACTCAATCCCCTATTTACCTCAGATATTGAAATAAATGTTGTAAAAAATAGTAAATAAAACATGGTTTCCTCTTGAAGTGTATCATCTGGCAGGGGAGATGGTTACAAAGTAAGCCATTGAACATTAAACAAATATGTAAACAACTAAGAAGTATTATGGGAGAAACAGTGAACAGAGAAGCTGTGGGTACTGTGTGTAGGTGGGAGAAGTGTAGGAACTCTTTAACACACCAAGATCCTTTGACACATGAAAGCGGAGGAGGCAGGCTTAAGAATAGGTGCAACAGCAAGCAGGCAAGGGCTCACAGCCGTGGCTGTGTCAAAGCCTCAAAGTGGGCGGTGATTAGCAAGGAATTGAAAGGATGTTTCTGGGATGTCACAGGAGCAAATGGTAGGCCATAAGGTTGGAGGGCAGGCATGGGGCAGATCACAAAGGGGGTGGTGGCCATGACTAAGCATTCGGATGAACTGCAAATAGGAGTTTTAGAAGGAATACAATGTGATTTCTCTCACACTTGGCTTTCTTTTTAGAGACAGGGTCTCTAAATAGGGTATTACCACTATTAACCAACCACTCACAGTTTCAGAGGATATTTGTTTCGTGTGGCATACTTGAGACACCCAAGGAAAGACATCAAGTGGGTAATTGAACATGTGTATGAAAACTGAGGGAGTGGAAGCTTCAGTCAAAACGCTTGAGTCAGTGTGACCATTCCCAGGGCTCCAGTTACAGACTGGGAAGGTGGACAACAACCATTCTCACCTCCTAAAGCCACAAATCTCCAAAATTCTGATTTTTTTTATTTTATGGGTAATACTCTGAAGCTTGGGGGAATTACTTTTGACTATGATTTCCATAATACCACATACATTACTGAAATCCCCTCTATTTTAAAAGGACTAGAAAGAACCCAAGTAAATAGAGCCACGCACATTTAAAAACTGTACAGTACTATCTTGCATGCCCAGAAGTATGGTACAGCTGGTTATGTCAACGGCAGACGTGAACAGCAGACGTGAACGGCAGACGTGAACGGCATTCCGAAGGTGCAGACATTGCCTTGTGCCCAGGGGAACATACAGAGCTAGGGGAAGAATGTGAACGAAGACGACAGTGGAAATCACGGGAGGGATGACTTTTAAAAGTGGCCAAACAACATCCCTGAGAGTGCAACAGTGGCGTGCATTCGCAGGCTAAACCCTAACAGCTCACTCCACAAGAAGGAAATCGTGCCTGGGACTGGAAACCTGGCCAACTGCCTGGTGCTAGTGACATCATGAGCCTTGAAGGAGAACAACTGCCACATTCCTAATCCAGCAAGAGTCCTAACTGCATTCTAAGTGGTAATCCTTATATCCACAGGTAAGTGCAGGTCTCACCCCCATCAAAGAAACATGTTGTTGTTGTCGTCGCAACAAATGGAGACCATTACAGAAAACCACAACAGATCAAAATGCGGAGAACAGTGACTGGATAATACTCAGCCCCAACTGAGATGTCTATAACACAATTCCTGTACTGTACGGAAGGCTCAGGGATCATAGTGTAAGAGGAGGCAGGAAGGTAAGAAACAGAGGAACAGGAAGCTCGCTGTGAGATGGGTTTCCTAGGCATGTCAGAAAAGCTGCACCCACGAAGTCTCAACAATATGGCTGCCTAAACAAGACCTGAACAAGGAAGACATCAATAGACATGCTCTCCCAGAAGGGGTAAATCTCACGGGGGCCTCAACCCTTGACAAAGAACTACAGGCAACTAAGGATTTCTAAAGTCGAGGGAAAACAGTTTTCCCCAGAGAAGAGCCTGTAAACTGGTTATCCAATACCAGGTGCCCAGCCCTGAAGTTTTATATATATGTGGTGGGGTACTTGGGAAGGATTGGAGGGAGGAAAGGGAAGGGGGGATGGTGTAATTAAATTTAGTTTCAAAAAAATTTAAAGTGGCCAATACTTGACATGTAATTTACGTAGCAGGTAGTGTTAATACGCAGTTGTCTCTCAACTGTCCTATGAGCTGAGCCTATTATCCTCATTTTACAGACGAAGAA